TACCTGCAGTCTTTCACCATGATGCAGGTTGTACTATTACTAAAAAACACCCTATAAATCCTTATTATCACTTCAGCTGATCATTTATGATTTCTTAGCTCCCCAAGACATAAAAGAAGAGGAAGATATAAAATATATATCCCCAAGAAGATATAAAGTTAAAAATACTACAACTAAAATTGATCAGTTTGTTTTCTGAATTGACGAGGGAAATCTGGAATTTCAATTGAGAGAATCAACTATGAACTCATCTGCATTCTTTCCATAAATCAAACCAGTGTACAAACAACTAGTTTTACTCTAAAACCCCTATAGACAGGAGATATGTGTTGCAAGAATGATGACCTTAGAAACTTCCTTGAGCCAGCGAGTACACAAAACAATTTGTCCACATGTAATCCCATCATACCTGCTAGCAAACATGACCCGTAGGGAGGAGAAGGTGGCTGCATCCTCCTTCAAAGCTTTCAGTTCATTTCTCAGCTTCATCATCGTCTCAGCCACAATGCACTTCTCTGTCTCATACTTTGTCTTCAGGTTGGTCAAAGCCAATTCGGCCGTCTGGAGAAGAAAAATGACTAATCAGACATCACATCAAAAAGAAACCACGTGCTTCATTTTTAGAAAATACTCGAACTGCACAGAGTAAAGGAAATTACAAAACTGGTCAATCAATTCCCAATAAAAGTAGTGATAGACTGATATATTAGCAGGCCAAGTAGTTTACCAATATATGGCTATTTCAAGAGTTGTGTCTGCTCTTCATTGACAAGTTTGTCTGTCGATTTCAATGTACATTTTCTGTATAAATATGTTAAGTAAGTGTTTACTGCACAGTACAGGATTAGAGCTGAAAAGTAGGGCTTTTGAAAAGTTAAGTTTAAAGGTAAAGGTCTTAACATTTGTAAGAATTTTTATCTATTAATCGCTTTTTTTAGTGTGTGAACAACTTGTACAGAAACTGAGACCTTCCCTGACTTCCTAGGTTCTCTATGAAAGCCTGTTGACTGATTTTTATGTGAAGGACTCGGGACGTTTATTCCTTCCTGAAAATGAATGAAGTAATGAGGCATTTACATTTGTACTACTGTACACCCAAAGCGCTTTACAATCATATCAGGGATCTTCTCCTCAATCACCACCAGAGTGTGCAGCATCCACAGTACAATGGCGCCAGTGTGCTCACCACACACCACCAGCTACAGGTGGAAAGGAGAGAGAGTGATAGAGCCAATCTAGTGGATGGGGATTATTAGGAGGCCATGATTGGCAAGGGCCAAATGGGTGGAATGTGGCCAGACGGGGGTTAAACCCCTACTCTTTACGAGAAGTGCCATGGGATTTTGAATGACCACAGAGAGTTAAGAGTCAAGGTTTTACGTCTCACCAAAGCTATGTTTACACACGCTAAACTGTTGTTACTTCTTCTTCCGTTCAAAGACACATTACCTCACCTATAAACTGCAGAGCTGGAATCCACACGCTATGATCAGATTGCTTTCTAAACTGCTGCTTTCTCGCTACTGTCATTTTTAGTTGTGTTTATTTTGCTAATGAGTGGAAGCGCACGCAGGACATTTTACATACTCCCCTAAACGTCACTCTCAGCAGTGTGTGGTGGCGTCGGGGCGTTTGTTAAAAGTATATCGCTACAAAAGTTGTTTTACTTCCAAGCGAAAAAGACAAAAAAGAACGACACCGCGAGCAAATCAGGTCATTGTTACATATGCATAAGTAATATTTTGCTGGCTGCAGTTCACTAACGGCCACCGGTGTCACAAATAACAAGCGTTTCTGAATTCTAACATATGGCCCCTTTTAATATAATATTTGAAAAAGTTGTTGTTTTTTTAGTATAACTTTGAAACACATTTTACTATTTAGTATGCATTTAATTTCTATTTAATCTTGCATTATCTAACATCCGTACCTGTTTGTTGGCTTTTAGGACAGTTCTGAGAGTGGCTATCTGCTCTCTCTGGTACTAAGCAGGGATTCAGTTTTAACACTTCCTCAAGCAGTGCCTCTGTCTCACGGTCTGAATCAGTGCTTTCTCCTGCTGCTGGATAGGACAACAGGTTGCGCTGCCTGCATAGGTCCACCGCCACCTGAAAATTTAGCAAAAGCAATTTATTCATAAAATAAATCAAACAATGTAAAAAAAGCGGCTTAAAGGCTTACTATAAAATAATAACAGTCCGCCAAAATTCTGTCTATTTACATTATCCTCATGTATTCTTCAAACCTCTATTTCCAAACTTCCATTTCTGGAACTTTAGATAACAAATTGTCCATACAATGAAAGTCAATGGCAACCAAAACTGATTGGATGCCAAATCTTTAATATCTTCTTTTGTGTTTCACAAAAAAAAAACTGATACAAGTTTTAAATGACATAATTTATTATTCTACTATAATAAGCTAAGACATACCTAGTATGTTTAATCTGGCAGCGTATGACAGCTACCAGATTGCGCACATTAGTTGGGTCCCTGAAGTCTAATGTAGGGAGACCCTGGACAACTTCCGCAGCTAGAGGACGTTTCTCCGCTTCCTCCGCTGCCCAAGTCCAACACTTCACCCGACCGCCTGTGCATGCGGAAGGATCCGCGAGTAGTGGTGGGGCTGTGAATGGTTGTGCGTTCTCCCTGCTTGGGCTCCTTCACGATAGTAATCCAGTGTAACGCGCTAGGCGTGAGGTTATTACAAACACACACATGATGTAAAGGTTAGCCAGTCTCTCAGAGAAGGCCAGAAGCTCCTCCTGCGCAACACTGAGGTGGCCTTCAGAGTCGGTGGCGACCTGTCGCGTAGCGCCGATTTCTCGCTCCAATTGTCCTATTCGCTCCTGGTCCTGACGGGCTAGCAGTGATACACTGTTCGAATTTTATCAACGAGTTCATAGCCTCACCCCTCCAGCGTTCTTTCTCCTGCTTGCAGCGCCCTCCAGGGCCTTTGAGCGTTGCCACCACTTTCAGCTCCTTGCGCAGATGTGCAAGCTCCTCATTTGCCGCTTGCATGCGAATCTCTAGTACTTCTGTGCTTTTTGGCATCCACTTCGTAATAGTTGATGCCGCTATCAGACTCTTGGTTTGAAGGGATCTGGGAGACAGGCTCATTCCATTCCCTTGTTCACAAGTCCTTTTCGAGACTGTACTCTGAGGGTCTCCAAACATTGGGTCAGCTGATCCATCTTCACCTGTTGCTCACTGAGAGCATCTTTAGACTGGACTAACTGCTGCTGAAGGTCATGCACAGTGCTGCTCAGTGTGGCTTTCTCCTCTCTCTCACCTGGACATGGGCACACAATATGGCACAACAATAGTAATTGTCACAACACAAGGTTTATTCCAATTGACCAACTCAATCCTAACACTCAAGAGAAATTATACTTAAGAGACTAGAACTGAAAACTCTTGAAACCTGAAAAAAGGGAAGAACCACTTTAGACTGATTTAAGTTAATTAGGGCTTAAATTTAATCCACAATTCTCTTAGATGTGCCCTAAGCCTAATTTCGGAAAGGATTAGTTTAACATGGAGAGGTGGTTTAACATCTCATTAATTTAACATCTCAATTCTCAAAAGTAATTATTACTCGACGACATTTTCAGTGATTTTAGTCCCACCCGCATGTGCCATCTCATAATCATCATGGACACTGTCATTAAAGATTACAGTGACTTTTACCTTCTGTAAAAGGTCTGAAAAAATTACCTCAGGTAATACTAATCCCGTGCGAATAGACCGCTGTAGATATGTACGTAAATATTCCATCATTTCCTGTTTAAAAGTACGTTTCCATGGTTTTTCAAGTATGGAGGCGCTTGAAAAAGCATTCAGTAAAGTTCTAGGCTAAGCATTGGACAAATCGGTTTTCCTTGCACCATTTAGATAAAAAAGGTGGCATTTTGTCAGAGGCACAAAACGTATTTTAGCTTTATGACTTATTACACACAGAATCCAATCACAATTCCCACTTCTAGTTTTACTGAGATTTCTTATTGGTCATTAATATTACAGATGTCCTGTGATCAAATTACATTACTCCATCTACCCTTGTAAAAAGTGTCATTAATTATGAAAATCACAACACAAAGTATCCTTTGGCAATCCCATTCCTTATATCCACTCCCTTCATGTGTCTCCTAAATTTTCAATCAGATAGATAAAGACAGCAAAACCAAAAAGTACCTTAATAAATAAATAAAGAGAAATAATAAAAATCTATTATCTATTATACATTTTATAAATACATTTAAACAAGAAAAAAAAACTGGGCTATCTGCTAGGTAAGGTAAAAGCTGGGTGGGTGAAAGACACTGTTACTTAGTAAAACTGACTTGATGGTACGAAGGAAGTAATCATCAATCAGATGAGGGTATTATGCATGAAACTGCAGAGTTAAAAATTAAAAGCCACAACATTTTAAACAGATGTTTACATCATGGGGTTTGAATGTTTTAAAGATTAGTCTGAGGTTAGATCTGAACCTGGTTACTCTTTGATTTCACTTGCTCCCCTGATTTATAAACATAATCAGAAACCCATATCATTTTGCTGGAGCATCATTTCAATAACTTTAGCTATTTCAATAACAAGATATTTTAATTATTTAAAACAGAGTAAACTAGAAAAAAAAGTTTGATGACACAAACTTTAAGTTGGCTTGAGAAAGCCGGACCAGAGCATTTGAAGAATCTTGAAGTTTGAATGAAGTTTTAAAGATGGAATTAGAAAGAAAGAAAGAAAGATTAGTTAGAAAGATAGATTAGTTAGAAAGAAAGATAGATAGATAGATAGATAGATAGATAGATAGATAGATAGATAGATAGATAGATAGATAGATAGATGTTTTTGGCAAGAAGCTAACATGATTAGCATGTAGCTAGCTTGATGCTAATATGATTAGCATGTAGTTAAGATGATTAGCATGTTGTTAGCGTGATTAGCATGTTGCTAGCATCATAATAGCAAGATTAGCATGTTGCTAGCATCATGCTAGCATGACTAACATGTAGCTAGCATCATGCTAGCATGATTAACAGGTTGCTAGCATCATGCTAGCATGTTTAAACAAGAAGCTAGCATGATTAGCATGTAGCTAGCATCATAATAGCATGATTAGCATGTTGCTAGCATCATGCTAACATGTTTTTAGCAAGAAGCAAGCATAACTAGCATGTAGCTAGCATGATTAGCATGTTGCTAACATCATGCTAGCATGTTTTTAGCAAGAAGCTAGCATGATTAGCATGTAGCTAGCATCATGCTAGCATGATTAACATGTTGCTAACATCATGCTAGCATGTTTTAGCAAGAAGCTAGCATGATTAGCATGTAGCTAGCATCATGCTAACATGATTAGCATGTAGCTAACATCATAATAACATGATTAACATGTTGCTAGCATCATGCTAGCATGTTTTTAGCAAGAAGCTAGCATGATTAACATGTAGCTAACATCATGCTAGCATGATTAACATGTTGTTAGCATCATGCTAGCATGTTTTTAGCAAGAAGCTAGCATGATTAGCATGTAGCTAACATCATGCTAACATGATTAGCATGTAGCTAACATCATAATAACATGATTAGCATGTTGCTAACATCATGCTAGCATGTTTTTAACAAGAACTAGCATGATTAGCATGTAGCTAGCATCATGCTAGCATGATTGGCATGCATCATGCTAGCATGTTTTTAACAAGAAGCTAGCATGATTAACATGTAGCTAGCATCATGCTAGCATGATTAGCATGTAGCTAGCATCATGCTAGCATGTTTTTTAGCAAGAAGCTAACATGATTAGCATGTTATTAGCATCAAGAAAGAAAGAAAGAAACAAAGAAAGAAAGAAAGAAAGAAAGAAAGAAGAAAAGATTTGTTTGAAAGAAAGAAAGAAAGAAAGAAAGAAAGAAAGAAGGAAAGAAAGAAGAAAGAAAGAATTGTTAGAAAGAAAGAGGCATAGATTAGTTAGAAAGAAAGATGGATAGATTACTTAGGTAGAAAGAAAGAACGATAGATTTGTTAGAAAGAAAGATGTATAGATTTGGAATTGTTAGAAAGATGGAATGTTAGAAAGAAAGAAAGAAAGAAAGAAGAAAGAAAGAAAGAAAGAAAGAAAGAAAGAAAGAAAGAAAGAAAGAAAGAAAGAAAGAAAGAAAGAAAGAAAGAAAGAAGAAAGAAAGAAAGAAAGAAAGAAAAAGAAAGAAAGAAAGAAAGAAAGAAAGAAAGAAAGAATTGTTAGAAAGAAAGATGGATAGATTAGTTAGAAAGAAAGATGGATAGATTAGTTAGAAAGAAAGATGGATAGATTTGTTAGAAAGAAAGATGGATAGATTAGTTAAAAATAAAGATGGGAAGATTAGTTATGTAGAAAGAAAGATGGATAGATTTGTTAGAAAGAAAGATGGAGATTAGTTAGAAAGAAAGATGGATAGATTAGTTAGAAAGATGGATAGATTTGTTAGTAAGAAAGATGGATAGATTAGTTAAGTAGAAAGAAAGATGGATAGATTAGTTAGAAAGAAAGATGGATAGATTAGTTAGAAAGAAAGATGGATAGATTAGTTAGAAAGAAAGAACGATAGATTTGTTAGAAAGAAAGATGGATAGATTAGTTAGGTAGAAAGAAAGATGGATAGATTTGTTAGAAAGAAAGATGGATAGATTAGTTAGAAAGAAAGAAGGATAGATTAGTTAGAAAGAAAGATGGATAGATTAGTTAGGTAGAAAGAAAGATGGATAGATTTGTTAGAAAGAAAGATGGATAGATTAGTTAAGTAGAAAGAAAGATGGATAGATTAGTTAGAAAGAAAGATGGATAGATTAGTTAGAAAGAAAGAACGATAGATTAGTTAGAAAGAAAGATGGATAGATTAGTTAGGTAGAAAGAAAGATGGATAGATTAGTTAGAAAGAAAGATGGATAGATTAGTTAGAAAGAAAGATGGATAGATTAGTTAGAAAGAAAGAACGATAGATTTGTTAGAAAGAAAGATGGATAGATTAGTTAGGTAGAAAGAAAGATGGATAGATTTGTTAGAAAGAAAGATGGATAGATTAGTTAGAAAGAAAGAAGGATAGATTAGTTAGAAAGAAAGATGGATAGATTTGTTAGAAAGAAAGATGGATAGATTTGTTAGAAAGAAAGATGGATAAATTAGTTAGAAAGAAAGATGGATAGATTAGTTAGAAAGAAAGATGAATAGATTTGTTAGAAAGAAAGATGGATAGATTTGTTAGAAAGAAAGATGGATAGATTAGTTAGAAAGAAAGAAAGATGGATAGATTTGTTAGAAAGAAAGATGGATAGATTTGTTAGAAAGAAAGATGGATGGATTAGTTAGAAAGAAAGAAAGATGGATAGATTTGTTAGAAAGAAAGATGGATAGATTAGTTAGAAAGAAAGATGGATATATTAGTTAGAAAGAAAGAAAGATGGATAGATTTGTTAGAAAGAAAGAAAGATGGATAGATTTGTTAGAAAGAAAGATGGATAGATTAGTTAGAAAGAAAGAAAGATGGATAGATTTGTTAGAAAGAAAGAAAGATGGTTAGATTTGTTAGAAAGAAAGATGGATAGATTTGTTAGAAAGAAAGATTGATATAGTAGTTAGAAAGAAAGAAAGATGGATAGATTTGTTAGAAAGAAAGATGGATAGATTAGTTAGAAAGAAAGATGGATAGATTAGTTAGAAAGAAAGATGGATAGATTTGTTAGAAAGAAAGATGGATAGATTAGTTAGAAAGAAAGAAAGATGGATAGATTTGTTAGAAAGAAAGATGGATAGATTAGTTAGAAAGAAAGATGGATAGATTAGTTAGAAAGAAAGATGGATAGATTAGTTAGAAAGAAAGATGGATAGATTTGTTAGAAAGAAAGAAAGATGGATAGATTTGTTAGAAAGAAAGATGGATAGATTAGTTAGAAAGAAAGAAAATGGATAGATTTGTTAGAAAGAAAGATGGATAGATTAGTTAGTTAGAAAGAAAGATGGATAGATTTGTTAGAAAGAAAGAAAGATGGATAGATTTGTTAGAAAGAAAGATGGATAGATTTGTTAGAAAGAAAGATGGATAGATTAGTTAGAAAGAAAGAAAGATGGATAGATTTGTTAGAAAGAAAGATGGATAGATTAGTTAGAAAGAAAGAACGATAGATTTGTTAGAAAGAAAGATGGATAGATTAGTTAGAAAGAAAGATGGATAGATTTGTTAGAAAGAAAGAAAGATGGATAGATTAGTTAGAAAGAAAGATGGATAGATTAGTTAGAAAGAAAGATGGATAGATTAGTTAGAAAGAAAGAAAGATGGATAGATTTGTTAGAAAGAAAGATGGATAGATTTGTTAGAAAGAAAGAAAGATGGATAGATTTGTTAGAAAGAAAGATGGATAGATTAGTTAGAAAGAAAGAAAGATGGATAGATTAGTTAGAAAGAAAGATGGATAGATTAGTTAGAAAGAAAGAAAGATGGATAGATTTGTTAGAAAGAAAGAAAGATGGATAGATTTGTTAGAAAGAAAGATGGATAGATTTGTTAGAAAGAAAGATGGATAGATTAGTTAGAAAGAAAGAAAGATGGATAGATTTGTTAGAAAGAAAGAAAGATGGTTAGATTTGTTAGAAAGAAAGATGGATAGATTTGTTAGAAAGAAAGATTGATATATTAGTTAGAAAGAAAGAAAGATGGATAGATTTGTTAGAAAGAAAGATGGATAGATTAGTTAGAAAGAAAGATGGATAGATTAGTTAGAAAGAAAGATGGATAGATTTGTTAGAAAGAAAGATGGATAGATTAGTTAGAAAGAAAGAAAGATGGATAGATTTGTTAGAAAGAAAGATGGATAGATTAGTTAGAAAGAAAGATGGATAGATTAGTTAGAAAGAAAGAAAAATGGATAGATTTGTTAGAAAGAAAGATGGATAGATTAGTTAGTTAGAAAGAAAGATGGATAGATTAGTTAGAAAGAAAGATGGATAGATTTGTTAGAAAGAAAGAAAGATGGATAGATTTGTTAGAAAGAAAGATGGATAGATTAGTTAGAAAGAAAGAAAAATGGATAGATTTGTTAGAAAGAAAGATGGATAGATTAGTTAGTTAGAAAGAAAGATGGATAGATTTGTTAGAAAGAAAGAAAGATGGATAGATTTGTTAGAAAGAAAGATGGATAGATTTGTTGGAAAGAAAGATGGATAGATTAGTTAGAAAGAAAGAAAGATGGATAGATTTGTTAGAAAGAAAGATGGATAGATTTGTTAGAAAGAAAGATGGATAGATTAGTTAGAAAGAAAGATGGATAGATTAGTTAGAAAGAAAAATGGATAGATTAGTTAGAAAGAAAGATGGATAGATTAGTTAGAAAGAAAGAACGATAGATTTGTTAGAAAGAAAGATGGATAGATTAGTTAGAAAGAAAGATGGATAGATTAGTTAGAAAGAAAGAACGATAGATTTGTTAGAAAGAAAGATGGATATATTAGTTAGAAAGAAAGAATGATAGATTTGTTAGAAAGAAAGATGGATAGATTAGTTAGGTAGAAAGAAAGATGGATAGATTTGTTAGAAAGAAAGATGGATAGATTTGTTAGAAAGAAAGAAAGAAAGATTAGGTAGATAGATAGATAGATAGATAGATAGATAGATAGATAGATAGATAGATAGATAGATAGATAGATAGATAGATAGATAGATAGATAGATAGATAGATAGATAGATAGATAGAGCATGAGAAGTTCATTAGTACATATAGAATGGTAGTTTAATTGAGTCTAGGGCTTCAGGGAATTTAGATTTGAGTTTTTGTTGTACGCTATTGGGCCACCGTAGTCTTGGCTCAATTTGACCATGATGCAATGAAAGTCAATGGGATTTTTATGATTTTTAATATTAATTTTTAAGAAATCTGAAAGTCGAATCAGTCTAAAAAGATATAGCAACTCGAGTCAGAACAGTCTGAAGGTCTGACCCGAGTTTGGAGTTTGTAGAGTTAAAGCTCTAGGAGGAGTAGCAGTCAGAAAATTTTGAGTAAGAAGAATAATAATAATATGTTTAAATAGGATTTCAGTAAGTTGGCTTTCTCAAGCCAACTTAAATATAATAGACAATGATTAGACAAATATTAGGGGGCAGCCCTAAATAGTATAATATAGCATACACAACAGATTTTTCTGGTTCTCGAATCTGATTGGCTGAGAGCCATTTCCAGCCATGGAATATTAAATAGTTTCATACTACAAAAAATAAATATATTTCATACTACAAAAAAAAAAAAATACTACTCCTACATCACGAAATGTAGTTTTAAGAGTTTTTTTAGGCGAGCTATTACATTTTAGACCTCAAATGTGTGACTCATATCTAATCATAGTGCCTATTTTACAATCCGTTTAGAGCATAGGTCTTCAACCCTGCTCCTGGAGGCCCACCGTCCTGCAGAGTTTTACTCCAACCCTAATCAAAGACACCTAAACCAGCAAGTCAAGCTCTTCAGGATCGCTTGAAAATCACAGACTGAAGCAGGTTTTATATAAACTCTGCAGGGCAGGGAGCCTCTAAGAGTAGGGTTGAAGACCTCCATCAGCGGCCGTTCAGTGCTCATGTACCCGCAGAGAACACATCGTATCGGACGGTCCTTCGGAAATTTGCCACTGGCTCTTATGTAGATAGTGGTTAAACATGAGATATAATTTATTTGGGGTATATCAAATGGGAAATCTTTGGTCTTAATAATCTAATACTTGTTCCAGAACAAATTGATTAATTGGTTAAGTGGAAACTCCAGCGATGAACTTCTGAATGAAAAATTCTGCCACAGCTCAAGAAATGAGGAAGGAGCAAGAAGGGTGTAAACAGGTTTCCTCACCTGCAGCAGTTGCTGCTTGAGTTTCTGGCTGTCGGACAGATGCAGCTCACTCAGAAGGTCGGACACCAGCCCAGGAGCCTGAGGTCTGAGGAACACATCACTGTTTCTGGGTGTGGAGCACCTGTTTCTCTCCATCCCTTTAGAGTTATTATACCCACTGTCCATCTCCTCCTCCTCCCCCTCTCTGTCCTTCTCTCCATCCCGGCTGTCATCCAGCTGTAGCTCTAAGTGGCCAATAGAGTCGAAGGGGTTGAGGGTAAGGGCGGTGAGTTCTCGTCTGAGGCTGTTCTTTTGCTCCCTCTCCTCTTTCAGGGCCTCGAGTGCCTCATCCAGCTGGCGCTCTACAATCTCCCTCAGACGCTCGGCCTCTTCCAGCTGTGCCCTCATCAGCTCCAGCTCCTCGTCTTTATGGGTCAACTCCAACTTCACTGACTCAAACTCCACCTGTGGAAACAAATGTTAATGTTTAGGGTTAGTCTGTCTAGTTGTAATAGTATAACACATTCATTAACTTGCTTGGATAAAAAAAGCTGCCTGTTAGAGATCTGAACATGAAGACCAGTGTCATTTACATGCTATTAAAGCATTTAACAATTTTTTAATATTTTTAACTTTTTATTTTCTGTGTTAATTTTAGTTTGGTAATTTTGTCATTTGTTTTTATATATAGGTTGTTGTTTTTTTCTAAAAAGATTTCTTTTTTTTCAGTTTTAGCAATTTTAGTGCCTAAAAGGAAATTAGAAACTTTGCCAAAACAACTAACTGAAATAAGTTTGTTTTTCCTGTAATATTTCTATTTTAGGTTTATGTCAATTACTGAAAATGTTTTTTAATAGTAGTTGCTTTTTGTCTTTGGCAGTGTTGTTATTGCTAACTAAAACTATTTTGAATAAGGTTACTAGAAGTCCCTACATACACTTAATGCCGCTTGTCTACTTCCCATGCAGCACCCTGCCCCCAAAACACAGGGATAACTTGTTAGCCTGTCTTTATGGTTCAGGTCAGATAACAAATATTACAAACGTTGATGACAAATTACAATCAATACATTTTACTAGGGGAAAAACAGGAACCCAGCTCTGTATCCTCTTTGTGACATCATAGCCACTGTTGGGCTATTTTAACACTGGATTTGGTCCGTATTGTGTCTTCACATTTACATTAAAATCACACTTACATAAAACCTTCAAATTTTGACCAATTTAACATCAGATGGGTTCAATTGTTAGCATTCAGAGTCGAGCTGCAGTGTCAAACCCATAACTTTGCATACGATGAGAACACAACTCAGCTTATTTGTGCATTTACTGTATAAATTCACCCTGAGCAACCCAGTTTTTAGTCCAATAGGGAAGGCCTTCTAGCCTGTGTCTGAATATTTATGCAGGAAGTGAATAAAACCTTTCTCTTGTGTGTTCCCTCAGAAGGAAGGCATTGTCAAAAATCAGCTGAGACTGAAGCACTACAACAGAAGTGTTTGTACTGCAGTGACAGCAGCTGCAAGAAACACATTCAAAGTCATAAGACATATCTCTAGTGAAGCACATTCCACAAGGAGAGACTTATGTTCAGCAAACACTAAAAGTAAGGGCTTAACATTGCATGTAAAATTGTATTAGAAGATTACTTGGTCTTATTTATGGGAACCAGCTGGCTATTCAATACAGAAAACAATTACACAAACAATACTTAAATATGAGCCTTTTCCAGATCTGCAGCAACACCTCCCACCCATTTTCTCACACACCTGGTTCTCCTTAAGCACTGAGACTTGTTTCTGCAGGGAGATGTTCTCCTCTTCCAGCTCACTGTTATCCTGAAGCAGCTGCACCTCTCTTGTCTTGTACTCCTTTATCTCCTCTCTTGCACGGGTCCTCTCCACCTCCAAACACTCGTACTCCTAGAGAGCAGGTCCACAGAATTCAGAATAGACCGAAAAGTAGTTATTAGATCTGCACAGCAATTACATGGTGGTAGCTTCATAAAATGTTGCAGCTGTAAATCCAATCAATACAAATTATTTTAAACGATGGCTTACTCAATTTAAATTTCTGTCATGATTTGCAAACCTTACCTTAGGTTTAATTCCAAACCTTACTTTGAACAAAAAATGTGAAGTTTAGCACAATGTCCTAGATGCACTTTTCCATACTGTAATTGAACTGCCATTAACATCAAAATTTTCTTTAGAATTTATATTCATTTTAATCTTTGAAGTGCTTGCTTATTAGCTAAAATTAATTTATTTTGACTGAAAAAACACCATTATTAAAAGTCAATATTTTTCCACACTCTTAAAGGTGCCCTAGAATTTGAAATTGAATTTATCTTGGCATAGTTAAATAATAAGAGTTCAGTATATGGACATGACATACAGTGAGTCTGAAACATCGTTTTCTCCTCATTTAAATCTCGTTTGAAAAACACCCCTGAAAAATAGGCGAATCTCCACATAACGCAGACTGTGACGCAACAGTCGGGATCATTACTATGTGCAATGTGCATATGCCAGCGCATGTTCAATGCCAGGCAGAACTGCGCAGAATCATCGGAAGTTCCGCAGGTGAAGGAACAAGCGAGGATCATAGGGAAAATGGCAGATCATGGAAACAAATGTTATGGTCCAGGCTGTGCAGGGGATGCGAGGACTTTTCATAGCCTTCCCACAGAAAATAAACGTCAACAGCCGTAGTTGACGTTTATCTATAATTAGATACGCAACAGTTTATTTCACCCATTTCATTTCATTTGCCCATTTCACCACGGACTTATTTTCTAACCTGGGACAATATCAAGCAGACTTCTCTCAGCATCTCATACTGAAGAAGGGGGGAATTCCAACTATATTCCCGCAAGCGGTAACTAGTGATTTTGTTAACTGTAATTACACTGTGTTATTTAGATCCAGAGCAAGATTCTAGTACAGGAACAATTGCAAATGCAAACTCCAAGTAATGAGCATATATATCTAAATAGTATGACAAAGTATTTACGTTAAGGTTAATATTTCTTGTCTGTGTTGCCATATAAATCTACAAAATAATACTGTACACGTGTAAATTATTTGACAAAAGGGAATTTTATTTTCGACTATTTCATCAACAACATGTCAGGGGCCAACTACGTTAGTTTAGTTGCTCACAGATAATGTTAGCTCACTCGATCCTTCTAGCTAACATCGCATTCTACACCACAATGTTAGGCATCTAACATTAGTCAATTTTTTGTAATTTTTGAAAACTGACAAATGATTATTTTGCACAATTGTATTTCAGTCAGTGTGTGAAGTGAAACATCCAATCAGATCAGAACTCATTACTATTCATGACCCTTCCAAATATTCATCTGAAAGACAAATGTCATGTACATCTAGGATGGCTTAAGGGTGAATAAATCATGGGCTAATTTTCATTTTAAAGTGAACTAGGCCTTCTCCTTTAAAGTCAGCATGAAACTGAAGTTGAGATTATCATTTTTTCCTTGTTTAATCCGAGTGAAACGGCTTCTGAAATGAGAAAAAAAGGGCTTGATTTCGTCACCAATAGCCACACCCTCATCGGATCTAGTCGCACCCTTTCGCCACTCCATGTGACCGAAATAGAAGAGGGGTCGTTTCGATGGGGGAGGGAAGGGTAATGTATTTGATTAAAGATTATAAGTGTGCATGAATTTTTAAAAAATAATGAAGTGCACAGATAAATCATTTATAATAAACACTACAACATTACATATAAAAAGAAGATTTGTCAAATTTGATTTCATGCCGACTTTAAATTTTACACACATACACATAATAAATATATATGTAAGTGTATACATATATAAATGATATATTTTTTGTTTCTTGGAATTACAAAATTATATATATATATATATATATATATATATATATTATAAAAAAGGTTTTGGCCCAGTGTCTAAAATAAATTGACCAAATTAATGCAGTGCATTAATACCTTTAAATATGCATGACATGTATACATCTATTCCTTATAGATGTGACGAGCATATTGTATTGTACAATAACTCTGTTAGTTCACTGTATGGACTCTCTTCACTTCAAGCTGACTTTGAAACTCAATACGGTTTTGTGTCACATGATCAGGCCTCATGAAAACAAGGAATCATATTTCTACTTTTACTTTGATCAGCTAGCATGCAAGCAGAGGTTACATTAATGAGTGCCATTTCAGCTTAGAATTTTCATTAGTTTGATGCTGCTACAAAAAAAGAGGAAGATGGATGGATGATGCTGCTATAACACATAAAACCTCTTGGCTCATGAACCCCATAATACAGCTTATATAACAAAGTCAAAAAACGTTTTATTGGACTTGAGTCTATGTGGTTAGGAACATTTTATGTAAAACTGGCCTTCTGAATGATGATGGTGTTTGTACCTTCTTCAGCTGGTTGCAGAGCACGGACAGTCTCTCGTTTTCAGCAGAGACATTGGCCAGCATAACGCGGGCCTGTTTAAGCTCCGCCTGCAGCTCCTCCATGCGAATCTCCATGGCCGTCTCTTTAGTGGCCGACTCTTGCAAGAGCCTCTCTTCTCGACTTTCCCCATCTGCAGCTGCACGCTTATGGCTGCTCACAGAGTCTGCCAGAGCCTATAAACATTTACACCAATCAAAAAAAATTTTAAATTAATCAAACCCTCTCATCATCTCCACCAAAGCCAAGACTCTGAATTACACTAGAAAAGTTCTTGCCAGTTCCCAACAAAAGAAGAAACAAAATGATTTAGTTGATTGACTGAATGAACCAGCAACATTGACACAATTTACAGCCTTCTGCTATTTTGCGTGAATGTCTGAAATTCTTTTAACGAGTTTTCACTTTTCAGAGCTGTTGAAAGTTAAGAAGTTGTTAGTCTTCAATTATTTTGAGTAATTTGTTTACTTGCTTAGGCCTGTATTGAGAGCTGGTGAAGTGAAACATAATATTCCAGCTTCACTGGCAAACAGAGGGTGTACTTACAATGGGTTTAACTCATGCTAAAGCCGCTTTTGTGCTTGGACAAACCGTAACAAACATACCCCAGACTGTATTACACTGAATTGAACTGTTACCAGATGAACCAATACTGTACGGTTGCCTTTGCGTAGCCAGCCACACACTTTTCTCTGAACATTAATTTGAATCACATGAGAAAACATGCTTGTGCTGCTCTATAATTAACGATGAAAGGCAGAGTGAAGAGGGGGAAGTGAAGTGTACTTGACAGAGTCAGGAGAATTTTTTTTACCTCTGTACATTATGTGTAGGAGCAGAACATGCAGTTTAAAAGACATAAAATGAAGATGTCCCCCAAAATGATTTCCTTGACTGAAAGTTGAAACACAAAATGGGATGTTGGAATATCTCAGCAGCTCTATTCCATGCAACAAAAACAGAAGGTGATTTACAAGACTAAGCTCTAAAGCAACAAATAAGCACCATAAAAGCATCCTACGTGGTTCATGGTTCTGAAGACATGCAATATTTGTAGGGCTGCAGCTATGGATTATTTTAGTAATCAAGTATTCTACCCATTATTCCATCGATTAATCGAGTAAACGGAGAAACAAAAAATGGAGGTAATAAAAATAGATCCAAATGAACAAGAGCCTTTAAAATGACTTAAAATATAAATATATTACAACAAGCAATAATATTTGGTTCAAATAAAGTATCAAAATAATCATATGAGTTTTATTGAACACCACTGTTGAAATACACAAATAAATGATATAAACTAATAAACACAACTTATGTAAAAAAATATAACATTACGTATTATAACAGATGCCTCCTGCATCATCAAACAATATTTATTTTAAATGTCCACTTAATCTTTAATATTTGGTCACTTCTATACGATAGAAATTCAACAGCCACTGTAATTTCTTAAGCAAGAATATGTGCATATCAAAACATGCAAACTCGGTTTAAGTGCAATGTTTAAACTTTAGAAATCGCAATGAACCACAATTTGGATATTTAGAAACATTTATGTATTCTCCTGTGCTGGCGTAGATTTACAAATGAGTTACGTTACAAATCCTGTAAAATGACGCAAATTGCGTTCCCAGTTTAATGTTATTAGCAACTCAAACTCAAAGCATGCAGAGATGGAAACACAATGAAACAACTATGAAACACAAACCGCATCCAACTTTTTGCATTCCCAAATGAGTGTTATTGGAAACCTAAACAAACCTGCGGTAATGTAATACCATGCAAATAATTACAGCATTGTGCTTCTCTGTGGAAAAAAAGTGCATATTTATTTAACTGAATCGCAGCCTTTAGCACTATGCTATATTATGATAACTGGTTTTAAATATATTGGGTAGCCTTAAAAAAAACAGTGTAATATGGCGATTTATGGATTTAGTCTGTGGAAACCCCACTTCAGGATTTTATTTAATTGAGTACTCGACTTTAATCAAGGAATCGTGACAGCTCTAAATAATACAAACTGCAAATTGGTAGGGTATATTTTTTTTGTATTATAGAGTTTCTAGATTTTATAAATATTTGGGGGGGAGGGGGGGATTTTTTTTTATCATTTTAATGTTTCAGTCATTTTGTTGTGCATTTTGTCATTTGTTTATCACGACTATAGTTTTTATAAATTTTTTATTTCAGTTAAGTTATTTTAGTAAATCAGGAACTAAATAAAAATGAAAGCGTTGCAACTACCAGAAATAACACAAGTTTATTTTTTTTTCAGTTTACATTTTTTATGGTTTTAGTATTAGTTAACTATAATAACTTATCTTTCATAGGAGCTCTCAAACACACAAGAACCAATGGCATTTAGCTTCAACACACTAATTTTTTAATTCATTGTATGGAAAAGAGCTGCTTGGACATTACATTCTACCATTTGTGTTTCAAGAGAGCAAGAAAATAATATTGGTTTGAAACAGCACAGGAGAGGCGGGTTAGTCAATTTTCATTTGTGGATGATGAACTATTGAATGAAAAAGACGATTCAATAAAAGTATTGATCAGTAGAATCTTAGAGGACTACACAGGAAATGACAACTGCAATGTGAACCACATCTACATCTCTAGAATATCACACTAGACCCAGATCTGTTCACTTCAGTCATCTCACTCTACCACACTCACCTACTTTGCAGATTTCATGCTCTACTAATCAGACACACAGAGAGAGAAATACATGAGCCCAATCTTCATACCAGAGGGAGTGAGTCAACAATGTACCACATATGTAGACTTCATATAAAATATGAGTGACATATCGATATTAGCCGAAGTTAGCCAGCCAATAATGCCTGCACATATGTCCATGCGCTGCAAATTTGTAGAATTGTCAAAGACTAAATGCAGGGATTTTGGGCCACAGATTTATGTAATAAATTAACAAAGAGCCAAAAAAAACTCATTCGTTCCAGGCTTACAGCCTAGGCCTATTTTTTTTCTTCTTTGGCAGTGGACCACAAAGACTGATCTGTCTGAACAGATGATCTATTAAAATTGTAGTGCACACGAAATGAGAACGTAATAGATATACTCAATTTTAAAATTCAAGAAACCACCTTAATTTCAAACTTAAGAAAAATAGCTATACATTTTCCTATAAAACATTTGGAAAAAATATTTTTTTAAATGGGGATACAAGGCAATTTAAATAAATACATGTGACCTGAAAATCTGGCAAGAAGTAAAGTCCTTACATTTCACAGGAGCTCATTAATCTAGAGAAAGATAGGACAGATTTTATCATTCATTATTTCAGATTATTCAATGGTTATTATCAAAAGAATAACATGCAAACCACTCGATCAAGCTCCATTTGGCTTGATGAATCAAAGCTACACTATTTTCCATTTTGCCATCATTAAATTTTGTATAAATATCTGACTAGTTCTGGTTAGTCGCCTCCGCTGTATGGGGTCCCAAAGAACAGTTTGTGTGTCATGTGATTAGCATTCAATTTAAATGTCAAGTTTTGGTTTGGTAAGATTTTACAGAGCACTGCAGGGAAAAGCTGTTGCTAATTTACCCATTATCCCCAAGTTTTCAACCTAAAATGAAATGACAAATCCTGCAATGATACTGACAAAAAGGGAAAACAGGTCACTGAAAGTGTTGTCCTATCTCCAGACAAAACATATGCAAACCATCCTATTTTAACACCACAAGGATATGAATCACACAGGGATCATGATTCTGAATCTGATCATTCAACAGAAGAAGGGCAAAGAGAAAGTCCCCAGGCTGGTTGTGTAACAGCTAAATGACATTACTTCTCAATGCTTGATTGTTACTTGGACAAAATCCCTTCAAGAAGCAAATCACAAGTTCAATGATTTTTTAATGGTTCAGAACTGGTTGGTCATGAATCATGAGTAAACAAATGAATAGGCTTTTGAACTTTTAAAAGGAAAGCAAAAACCCAGTTTCATGGCAAAGTTTATGTCTCCACCGTCCAATCAAATTCTCTCTCTCTCTCTCTCTCTCTCTCTCTCTCTATATATATATATGAAGAGTTCAGATGCAAAAGCCTCTAAATGCCATTTGAAATTTTCTTCTTTAATGATGATTTTTATCAAACTTGTATATTTAAGTTCAGTAATTTCACTTAAATAACAATTAATAGGTAATTATCATTGCATTTTAAGTGAAATCACTGAACTTAAATATACAAGCTTGATAAAAATGATCATTCTAGAAGAAAATTTAAAATGACACTTAGAGGCTTTTGCATCTGAACTCTTCATATATATATATATATATATATATATATATATATATACACACACACACACACACAAACACATCCATTTATCCATCCATGGGTGGTGATGGCGCAGTGGATAAGACACATGCCTTTGGTGTGAGAGACCCGGCTTCGAATCTACTGTGAGACACCAATGTGTCCCTGAGCAAGACACTTAATCCCTAATTGCTCCAGAGGCATGCGACCTCTGACATATATAGCAATTGTAAGTCGATTTGGATAAAAGCGTCAGCTAAATGAATAAATGTAATGTAAATATAAATCAACAAATTCATCTGTTTTCAGATGCAAACATGAACAGGTTGTTGTGATATGCCCTCATCACTCATCCTCAAGTAAACAAAACCACTCAAGGTCAAGGTAAGTCAGAGTCAAGGTAATAGAAAACATGACCCAGACTACATTTAACACAGGTTCACTTGCTTCAATAATAGGGATGGGCAACGATTAATCGCATCCAAAATAAAAGTTTGTGTTTACATGTTTGTGTAGTGTGTATAATTAATTTGTATATATAAATACACACACGTACATGTACATATTTAAGAAAAATGTGCATGTATATATTTTATATATATATTTATTCACAATTAATATTATATATAAATATAAATATTTGATATATTAACAAAAGATTTTTCTTAAATATATACATGCATGTGTGGGTATTTATATATACAAATTAATTATACACACATATATATTATGCAAACACAAACTTTTATTTTGTATGCGAACAATCGCGATTAATCGTTGCCCATCCCTATTTTTGTTTAGATGTGTGCAGAAAATTATTGTCTGCCAAGAGAATAAAAAAAAATAAATCATCATACCTATACAATAAATCATTTCACAAGTTCCTTTGCCCATATAATCTTTAAATCTGATACAATTTCTAATCTATAAGGTTAAGCGTAATTGGCTTGCTGTCCGTAATGGAGGGGAGAAATTTCTTAAAAGAAAAAATATTTTTAAATAAGTTTGTAGAGTTTTCCTACATCTTGAAACTTTCAGGTTTATAAATGGGAGTCATCTTTGAAGGATGAACAGATAATGTTTTGGTCATCACATTAAAAATAACATTTAAATGTATATTTATTTATATAATATTTGAGTTTTGAAGTGCTGGAAAAAGATGTGTGAAGTACTTGAAAACATTTCAATATTCCAGCCAAACTGGTTAGTGTTACTATATTAAATCCATGGTGAATGTTGCTGGTCTGTGGACGTAAATTATTACTAGTTCATTCACGGCACAATGTTTCTCCTGGTTTCCAAGTCAGCTAATAATGTTTGTTCTAATAGAGATATCATAAATAGCACTGGGGGAAAAAGCTCTGGTTTCATGTTACACTTCCTCAATAGCTAAATCCAAGCTTCTGCCACTCTTTCCTTCTCTCTATACCTTTCTCTTGACTGACCTCTCTGAGTTGTTGCATTTCCATCTTAAGGGCTTCATGTTCTTCTTCCAGTTGGCTGTGTTTGGTCTTCAGAGCAGCGCTCTCCTCCAGAACGGCCAGGCCGTACCGTGCAGCCTGTAACTTCTCCTCATTGGCCTCCTGGAGTTCAGCCGTCAGCCTCTCCACCTCTGCTTGAAGCCCCTCTTCTCCGATCCCTTCCACCTCTGTATCACCCTCCTCATGCATCCTCTGCCCAACCTCACGCTCCGGCCGAGAACAGACACGTCACTCCTGTCTCGTCATCCTTGAAGTCAGCAAGAAAACAAGGACTAGAGTTAAGGCCATTCACATGTAGAGATACATATCATCCACACTCTGCAGTTATGTTGTCTGGCATTTAACCAGTTAACTGTCACTGTCACACAGGTGGGACACTTGCCATTATATTTTTAAAACAATAATATATTAGAAAAGACCTTAAGTAATATTGACAAACTATATATCATTTGAAAGCTTACAATCTCTAGTTTCCATATTTTCAAAATAATTTACACACGAGCCGTAATTTATCAATTTGCAACAAGAATATTTTCATACTCATAAAGCGTGTTTAGACCTTTATTTTGAAATAGCAATGAACATGAAAAATCATGAAAAAAAGTTAGAAACCTCAGTTTGATTTCATGCCAAGAGTTCAAAATATAGCATCCATTCAATTATTTTAGAAAAAAAGGTCTGAAAATGTTTTAAATATTACGGAAAAAAAAATAGATTCACCATTTGTGTTATGGCAATAAGCTGTAACGCGCATGCGTGTGCTTGTATGTGATTCCTAGAGGTTGAATTCATATCAAAATCTGCCAAACTACCCATACTACTTCTGAATAGGTTTTCTACTTCATAAATTGTGTGAAATTTGTGAAAATAATGGTTCAGATCATTCAAAACACATATGGAAATGGAGACGCCCTTATATGGGCAGTAATGGAGTCTGGTTGTGCCCTAGTGAAAAAGTTTGGTACTGCGCCCAAACTAAATCTCACTGAAAGCTCATTTTTTGAGATATCAACCTAAAATTTGAAAGACAACTTGTTCAGATTTTTGGCTTTGATTTTTCTGCAGTTTTAGAGTAGCCCAGGTTTTGAAAATATATATTTTATATAAAATATGAATAATTAATTTTTTTACATTGTACATTTCTATAAACTCAGACTTCTATAACTTTTTTTCTGTTTCACTTTCCTAATTTATTTCACTTCGAGAAAAATCTGCCAAATGTCTTCTTTAAAACGAGACCAATCTTATGTCTATATTCCAAAGCATTCTTGAATTACAACCATTTAAGTTTGAAATGAGCATTTCCATGTCTATTCAAAAAAGGGGGGGTGACAGTTAAGAGGTTAAAAGAGCTCACACATTTGAACTCGGGTGGATTCTTCATGGCTGTTTATGTTTTGATCGTTCATCAGCTGAGGGAAAACATGTCTAGAAAAAGATTCCTATGATATTGTTCCTCTGTGTTGTTATCGTTATAGCTTTGCTGCGTACTTTCCTTTTCTCATAAAATTAGAACAACTACTGTAGTGAAATTTTGTAAGTACATTTTTGAAAGAACAAGAAGTCTCTAATGCTCAACAAAACGGCATTTATTTGATCAAAAATTAAGCGTAGCGTCATTTCTGGCAGGTTACATTAGTCAAGCTCTCATCAGCTGACTCTCAGCTAAACCACATCTACCTACAGGAAAATGACGCCTATCACTTTACACATATAAACTCCTTCAGCCACCTCCATTGGTGGCAATGTTTCTACAATCAACTTAGGCTAACGTGCTTTGGGAAACACAGCCCTGCTAAACATCATCTTTTGTGTGCCATGCAAGAAAGTAAGAATGCATTTGGAACAACATCATGACAGCTAAATTATTTGTGGGTAAACTTTTACATTCATGATTTCGAATGTCTATTAAAATGTACAATATGCAAGATTGTTTCGCCAGCAGGGGTCACTAACCTCTTAAAATAACAAAAGGCATATTAGTGACGTATATTCCGCATTAAGCGGAATTATGGATCTTGTCGTCAAGCTAATGGATCTTTTATGGATGAGTGAATACATTGCTCTAACAGTTTCACTATCACACTAAACGGGATTTGTGTGTGGTGTTGAATGTTGTTAGATAGGTTGTTTGTTGGCTGTATGAGACTAAGCTAGATTAACATTAGAGAATAACATACAGATCATATTCTAACTTTTTATCATGTTGAACTACATAATAGGGGTGTAACGGTACATGTATTCGTATTGAACCGTTTCGGTTCGAAGCTTCCGGTTCGGTACGCTTACAAACCGAACGGTTGTTTGGACCATTTTTCCTGCCGGCAAAATTCGTGCTGACGCGGCCAACACAACGTTGCGCAACATCAAATGGCAAGCGTAATGAAAGCAGAACGAAACTGCGCTACTCGTTATGTGCTTCACGGATCGTTTATCAGTTCGGACCAGCAACATCTGTGCAGCGCGAGCCGATCTCGATCAAGCAACACTGTTAGTTACACAGCGCTAAGAGATCCAGTGAAGAAAACATTTGAATTCGCCACTGAGGTAATAACATCGCTGCGAGATCTAGTGAGATGCATTCACAATTCTCCGTTATTAACCGTAGATCTCTATTAGATCAAACAGCGCTGTCATGGAAACCAGGAGAAACATTGTGCCGTGAATGAACTAGTACTTTACGTCCACAGACCAGCAACATTCACCATGGATTTAATATAGGCCTAGTAACACTAACTGGAACCAGTTTGGCTGGAATGGTGAAATGCTTTCAAGTACTTCACACATCTTTTTCCAGCACTTCAAAATTCAAATATTATATAAATAAATATATATTTAAAAGTTATTTTTAAAGTGATGACCAAAACATTACTTGTTCATCCTTCAAAGATGACTCCCATTTATAAACCTGAAAGTTTCAGATCTAGGAAAACTCGCACTTATTTAAAAATATTTTTTCTTTAAATAAATAGGAAATTTCTCTGGCATTTCTTTCTTTTTGCTGTATCGAAAACGTACCGAACCGTGACTTGAAAACCGAGGTACGTACCGAACCGTGATTTTTGTGTACCGTTACACCCCTACTACATAACATTGATTACTTTTATATACATTGATTTGCTCACCAGTTTGCTCAAGAAACATGTAACACTCGCGTCTCTGTCAAGTCGAAGTTAGTCGCGGACGTGGAGCTCTCTCGAAAGATGTTGATCTTCGTTTTAGTCCTCTTTTTGTCTCAAAGTCTTCTTGCCATGGTCCATAATGTTTGAATAAAACTCTGCTAGGGACGCTCACGCTGTTGAGCATGCATAACGGGCATAACCGACCCAGTTGTCCATGTCCGTCGCTATGGTTACTTTTGCCGTACGAGGTCAAACCTGGCGGAAACCGGGGGTAACGTGGATATGACGACATTGACTGGTGACTCCTCACATGCCCCATTTCCTTAGTTAAAAATCGCAATTTTCTCACGATTTACAAATAGTTGGAAACATTTGGGATATTTTAAGTAATCAAAATATATAACATTGGCCTACTAGTAGTGGTTTTGGATATTTTACTTCAAAAATCCTGCACATTGTACCTTTAAGATTACCATCAGTCCTAACATAATGAAGCTTCTTCAAACGGAACTGCACAGCTCGAAGACCCCAGACGTAACATTATTATGAGATTATCAGAGTGGTTTCCCTTAAGACCAGCTGGACTCAGCCCAATGAGATTAACTCTAGCAGCTTAAAAGACCTTTACACTTTCACTCCTGCAAGTAAATGTTATACGTTCGTCTAATTACATGATGGTTCGACATGGATTACTGAACGGATAGCTCACCCAAAACTGACAATACGTCATCGTTTACTAAACTTAATTTAATTCCAAACCTGCATGACTTTTTTTTTTTTTTTACTGTGGAACACACAAGAAGAATAAATGATAGTCTGAAACACCATTCACTTTAATGGTGGCGGAAATGTCATTTTTGGGTGAACTGTCTCTTTAACATCATCCAATATGTCTGTGTAAACCGAGTGTTTCAAAACATCAGAAACACGGACAGTTTAACGTTAACATTATTCCTTTTAGCCCTGCTTTCTCACATAAGCACTGCCGCATTTTGGATTCAAGCTCAGGTTGTGTCAAAAAGGGTAGCTAATTTCTGGTGGCTTACTGACATTTTTCAGTTCAGGAAGTATCTTTCATGTTTGTTATTGTCTGGTTACAAAAGCTCACCGTTAGTAATAACATGCTGGTTTCTAACTTAACGTTCAATCTTTAGGTTTTTACAAGGTGACTTTGTAAATTGTCAAAACATTAACGACAGCTGCTAGCTAGTTTTGGGAATAGTTTACGGTAACTTAGCCACGGTGCTAACACATAAAATAGTACGGTTCTTACGATTTAGTTAAATGGTTACCAAATATTTACCTTGTCATTATAAAAGTAGCAAATGTTGCTAAAAATGACCAACCGTCCATTTGTTAAAGTGACTGTTATCTTTTTAGCCAACACATCCGGCTTATATTTTATTTGCTAACGTTACAAGGTTAGCTTCGGAGAAATTGTCAGCTGGAGCAGCCTAAAGATAAGAATGTCGCTTTTAATTGTACCTTACCTTTATATTTGGTTTACAGAATCATGCGGTAAGCGGATGAAACATGAATTTGAGCTTGAAGGAAGATCAAGCCTTTCCTCCTTGCGCGCGCTCCAGAAGTCAGCCGTTTGAATGAATATACGAGCACGAGCACAACTCTGAAGAGGAGCTCAACAGCCAATGACGCGCGTCCACTTCCGCCTCTCGCTCGAGCAGCTTCAGTGAACATGTCACAGCGGATGTGGTTCTGCCGCTGAAAATAAAAATAAGATTAAGTTGTCACCATAATCTATGGTGACTCTATAAAACGGTTGTCACGTATGATACACATGTGAAAGTTATAAACGAGTATTACTCAGTTTTTCTTGTTGGGCATCTTAAAATAAGTAGTCACAAGAAGCAAACAATAAAGTAGGTTACCAATAAAATAAAACTGATATAAAATGAACTGACCAACTGCATTGCCAAAGAAGGCCACAAAAATGTGGTTTCTGCTAATAAACAAGCCATTTTACAGTAAATTATACATTTCAGAACAATATGGGACCACACTGCTAAACAGATTCAATAGTTTAATGACACTAAATGCAAGTTTCCAAATAGTGTATGAAGTAATCATTTTTTAATCTAAAAAAGGAGATGTTATCCACACATTGTTCATGCAACAACCAAACAGTCAACACCAATCTCTGTCACCATGAAAATGGGCAATTCAATTTTTTTTTTTTTTAATGGAATATTGCAGTAGTATTTAGCTGCTATAAATGTTTTTCTGTGCACATCATTATTATATATATAAAAAAAAATAACCTCATAATCTTTAATCAAAATAACTTCCCCTCTCTCTTTGCAGTGACCTCTGTGATGAGGTGTTCACTGGCTCGAGGATGGAACGACCTGTCACTCACATGAGATCCACCAACAGAAATCCACAATAATCTAACCAATCAATTCCAGATGGACAAAATCAAGTCTTGCTCCCCTTGGTCTTGCCCTACATTTGAGTTCTTGTTTGAGAAGTTGTTTCAGCTTGTGTATGCCTCAGAACAAAAAGGTATGACTTTTTATTTCACAATTCTGACTTTTTTTCTCACAAACCAGAAAAAACGTGAATTGCAAGAAATAAAGTCAAAATCGCAAATATTTCAAGTACTCTTTGATATCACACAAAACACAGTAGCAACCACTCCTAGAAACGTAAACAAATGTTCTCATTGATATTGAAACAATAGAATAGAGTATTGATAGATCGAGTAGAGTGTTACCTGCATTTAAAGTAGATTTTCCTTCAGGTCAGAATAAAGCAATAAAGAATCCTAATATCTGCATATTACATAAAGAGTCCTAGAATAGGCCTATCGGCATAATATCTGGGTTTCCCATGCCCTGACATTTGTCAGTTGCGTTTTCCTTCTTCGTGTTCACAAGTTTCAGTCAAATCAAGAAGATTTGAGTGTGAAGATCTCAGCACTGAAAAAAAAAAAACTCTGGCATTTTGACCTTTCAGAAATTGGCAGTGGGGATGTTCACTCAGAAGTGAGTCGTATTATATAGATTATGTGAGATTATAAACCTTTTACCTTGCTTATGTTTAATAAGATGTGCATTGAAGAACCTGACTCATCATTAATCTCTTTGGATGGTAAAAAAAAAAAATAATAATAAAGTGCCTTCCCCCAGAATGAAGTCAGATTGTTCAGTCTTGTGGTGTGAACTTTGTGGCCACACATTGAGTTTGTGGAGAATTTGAAATTTGAACTTTGTCCACTTTATCAAGCAGATGCTTTCCCGACCTTTTGAACTGCTCTGCATTTTTCAAAGGAACACTCTGACTTTTTGGGACTTTAGCGTATTAATCATATCCCCCAGAGTATGAGTTAGTCCACATAGACTTTTCATCTCCGTGCATGCCCTAACTCTGTCTGACGCACCCACCGCTAGCCTAGCTTAGCACAAATACTGGATATAAATGGATACAGCTAGCATACTAATCCCAAATAAGTGACAAAATAACGCAAACATCATATGAGACACAGCCCTCTTTTAACCGTAGCCTAAATATTGGGAACTATATTTTCAGAAGCACTGCTACTTGGGCGGAGTGATTACCACAGCACCTGAGACGCACTATGGTGAGGGTAAGCGTTTGTTTAGAGTTGGAGTAATAGAGTCGGCAATTACTATAAAAGCATAGTTTACAGGGTGTTCGTTTTATTGTAAAGAACTGCAACAATAAACAGGGAAGACCAGGTAATACCATGATGTTTCATAGAATTCCAACCAAAAACGCATCCTAACTAATAAATATCACAGAACATGAATAAAGAATTATTATTACAGTATTCGATATATATTTTAAATGCAATTTATTACAGCTGAACCAAATTTATTCAACAGCATATAATACAGTTAATGTTAGATAATTGCATTACAATAGTCAAGGGGAAAGTAATAGCACAAGGCAAATGGTTTTTGCACAATGAACACACAGTAGCCTACCCGTACTGGACAAAGTCACTGTTTATCAAAAAAAAAAAAAAAAAAATATATATATATATATATAATATATATATATATATATATATATATATATATATATATATAGTTACCAATATCAATACGGTTAAAAGAGGGCTGTGTCTCATATGACCTTGTTATTTGTACACTCTGTGACTATGCAAATTACAACATGTAAATAGAAAAATGTTTGCCTAATTTTTTCAAGTCTAGTATTAGTATGCTAGCTGTATCCATTTACATCCAGTCTTTGTGCTAAGCTAGGTTATAGCGGTGGGTGTGTCAGACAGAGTTACAGCACGCAGATGAAGATGAAAAAGGTATGTATGGACTTATCTCACTCTTGGGGATATGGTGAATAAGCTAAAGTGTTCCTTTAATATTCAGATTTTTTGGCGGGATTGTAAGGAATTATGAGTGTTCTCCAAAAGTCCCAATCTATTGTGGTATTGATTGGGACTGTTTGGGTCTGTATTGTGGTTGTTTGGCTGTTGGGGATTAACCAGTTGTTCGATCTATTTAACTGTTTTTTTGTTTATTTGTTTTTTTTTATTATTGGTAGTTAAGTCATTATTATAGCCTAGCCTACTGTACATTCAAAACCGTAAATGCCAAACACATCTCTCCTCATGTTCATGCTAACCAATTAGCCAGATAATCAATCAAAGTCAGTTACGAAAGATTTTTCTTTTAGTTATAGCCTGCATGAACTCTGATTCGTGGTTGAGAGTACTCATGTTTAGTTTTTTTCATAAGTAAGGTCTACATTTACCAAACTCTGAGTACTATTATCACAACAGGCCATCAAAAGTCCAAGTTTTTCAAACATTTCAGCTTATTTTCAATTATGTTAGTACAATACACAAAATCACAAAGTTTCCTTTTCACTACACAAAATAACGGTTTCATCTATATAAATGTTTCATTCACAGTAACTGCCTTTCATAAAGCTCTTACTGTCAAACTTTTGATTTTACACTCCTCTCGTTCAGTTTAATACATTTGTGTATTATTTACCAGTTTTTATTCGCTTTGGTACTATTTTAAACTAAGAAGATCATACTGTTGTGTTTTGGTGATTAAACCAAATGTTCTCATTACACAGTACAATAATCTTGTGTTTGAATCAATGATTATGTGGACTTAGATTTGTATAACTGTAATGAAAGCATGGGATCAGGTTTTGATGAAAAATGTGACAAAGATACACTAAAAAGAATTGATTATATCAGTCAATACCCCCTGTGTGTTTATCACACCAATATGACATCTAGTGGTTGCTGATGGTAAGTGCAACCAAATATTCACTCACTACTTGGTTAGCATGAACCAAGTGTGGGTCTCTGCAGGTTGGAGTAATGGAAAGTTAGAGGGTGTAGAGAAAAGTCTTTGTCTTTGGCCGCATAAGCTGTATGTCAGGGTGTGGGCCCCAGCAAGTGTCAAGTACCGATTGTGATAGCATCATCATATTAGCCAGCATTAGTGCCAGCAGCTGACTATAAGTTCACTTCATTTATATTCTGACATATAATAGATGTAAAAATGTAAAAATAGATGTAAAAATAGATGTAAAAATAGATGTAATTTCAGATGTGCCAATTGCTGTATGGCAGCTGCTATGCAAGTTTTACCTCTGACTCTGGCCAACTAATGTAGGTGGGATTCTGCCAAACGCTGTTTTATGTCTAACTTATGTTTTAGCCACTGCGGGGAGTCATAAGTCATCTGCTGGGCAGCTGCTAGCCTAAGATGCCAATTTTCATGGTTGGTGCTCCTCCCCAAATACTGAATGTCATACTGTGAAGTATAGTGCAGGCTGGTTTTTCTTCTTTAGCGAGGAGTCAAGTCATCTTCATTTATAAAGCATGCTTTTAACAATGTAGATTGTTCAAAAGCGGCTTTACAGTGATAATAGGAAATTAAAGTAACAGAGATTGTTTTGGATTCATGGCAGCTTTAGAGTAAAGTTATTTTCCAGCTATAGTTAGTTTTGATTGATTTACATTTACCGTCGCAACGATCATTAGATATCCGTTTTCAGTTTGTAAATATGGTGACTTTTGTGTGGGCGGTGCTTAGGTGGAGGCTGAACTTAATTGTTTTTTAATAATTACTGGAGAAAATCAGATTTTATCTTAATGTGTAAGGTCACGCACTGTCCAGGACTGCGATTGTTATTTGCAAAAGTTCATTTTAGCGGACGGAACCAGATTGGCCGACCCGTACACGCTCACTCAATGGATGGACGATCTGACAGGATTAATGTTAACACTACCTCAGTTGAGTGGCCTGACATCTACACCAACCTGATAGAGAAAACAAGCATAAAGAGAAAATGAGGGCATATAAATCTTTAGATGCCTATAAATATGTGATTAATGGTCACGTACAAGACTTGTGTTGCGGGGTACGATCCGAAGCTCTGCCTGGCCGGTGCCAAGGCCAGAAGACGACCATGTAAAGAGTGACATTACATTGCAATTTTAATGATGTGAATACTAGATATAAAAATTCCAGTTGTTTAACTGTATTTTATTATACTTTCTTGCAGGTTCTCAAAAAAATCTAGTCACAATCAATCAAACACAACAATGTAGGCTATGATTCACAAATAGTCACAATAGTTTAGAAAACATTATGCGATAAAATTTCAAATTGGAGCCTGTACTCCATCGATTCTTGCACCCAACAAGATGACATTTAATTATAATAATAATATTTAAGCTCCTTTTTTATGTAGCCCGAATCAGTGCTGGTTTCTATTTGCTGCCTCAAGGTTTCCCTTTGTTTTGCCTCCAGCTAACACCGTGACGTAATTGTGATGGCGGTGCTAATGCGGTCTGTGTCCGCGTTTGAATACATGTGCGCAGGCATGTAGACTACTAGGCATTTTGTCTGTAGATTAAACCTTCGAGTCCTTCTAAAACGACTAACCAATAAAAACGGCTCCACATCAATGAAACGCCTTAAAATATTGAGCCTACAGGGAAAATAAACAGAGGAGGATGTAAAAGATGACGTCTATGTGTGGAGCTTCCCATGAGGAAATGTCAGGGAAAGAGACTGGGCTTTACCCATTACTGTGGGAAACCCAGTTCTAGGCTTCCACACTGCCCCTAAGTTTAAAGGTCAAGGGTCATCCAGTAGCTGCCCTTACAAACAAGCCAAGGACGTCAGTGCCATGCATGGCAGAGATGTTATCATTGATGTAAATTTAAGACCACACATATAAGCTAAGAATAAAAATGAAATCAAATAATACTTTAATTGACAGTAAAGACTTTCACATTGTCGCAACATATTTCTATTTCAAATAAGTGCTGTTCTTTTGAACTTTCTATTCATCAGAGAATCGTGAAAAAGATTTTTCCCAACCATTTTAAGCAACAAAATGTTGGTTAAAAAATTCCAACAAAATGTTACTTTGGTAGCAAATTAGCATATTAGAATGATTTCTGAAGGATCATGTGACACTGAAAGACTGAGGTAATGATATGGAAAATTCAGTTTTTCTATCGCAGGAATAAATTACATAAATGACATTACACAATTGTAATGATATTACACAATATTACTTTTTTACTGTATTGTTGATAATAATAGTAAAATAATAAAATAATAGTAGTAAAGAGTTAACATTAAAAAAAAAATTCTTACCAACCCCAAATATTTGAACCATGGTGTGTAACGTATAATGAGTTATTAAATCAATCAGTGATTAATGTTTTTAACACATTAACAACAACAATTATTATTATTTTTTTTTTACAATATCCATCCAGGTATGCAGCAAAGCATTTGTGAAGCCACAGCAAGCACCTTGAAGCGGATTGGCTACAACAGCAAAAGACCCCACCGGTTACCACTAATCTCGACTACAAATAGGAAAAAGAGGCTACAATTTGAAAGAGCTCACCAAAATTGGACAGGTTGAAGACTGGAAAAATGTTGCCTGGTCTGATGATGGAAACAGATTAGACATTCAGAATTTAGCGTAAACAGAATGAGAATGTGGATCCATCATGCCTTGTTACCACTGTGCAGGCTGGTGGTGGTGGTGTAATGGTGTGGAGGATGTTTTCTTGGCACACTTTAGGCCCCTTAGTGCCAATTGGGCATCATTTAAATGCCACGGCCTAACTGAGCATTGTTTCTGATCATGTCCATCGTTTTATGGCCACCATGTACCCATCCTTCCAGCAGGATAATGCACCATGTCACAAAGCTTGAATCATTTCAAATTGGTTTCTTGAACATGACAATGAGTTCACTGTACTAAAATGGCCCCCACAGTCACCAGATCTCAACCCAATAGAGCATCTTTGGGATGTGGTGGAACAGGAGCTTCATGCCCTGGATGTGCATCCCACAAAAGTCCAACTACAAGATGCTATCGTATCAATATGGGCCAACATTTCTAAAGAATGCTTTCACCACCTTGTTGAATCAATGACGCGTAGAATTAAGGCAGTTCTGAAGGCGAAAGGGGGTCAAACACAGTGGTAGGTGAGTGTATATACTGTATACATACTGTATGTAGAAGTATGATAGATGTGTGGTTCTATATAAATATGATCATTTATAATGATCTTGTTTAAAGTGTCATATTCAAGTTCAAGTTCCGTTTATTTATAGAGCACATTTACAACCGGCTGGTAACCGACCAAAGTGCCGTACAAAAATTACAATAAAACACAATAAAACAAACAGTGATCACTTAGGATCAGTGAGTACAAGTCAATTACATGTTAAAAGCTGCATCAAATAGATGAGTTTTCAGAGCAGATTTAAACTCAGATAAGGAAGAAGCCATTTTAATTTGAGTTGGGAGTTTGTTCCACAATGCGGGGCCCGCTACTTCGAACGCTCTATTTCCCCTGTTTTTCAGTCGGGTTCTGGGAATCTGAAGGAGGCATTTATTTACAGATCTAAGCCCTCGTTTAGGGGTATACAAGTGAAGTAGTTCCGATAAGTACAGTGGTGCAAGATTATTAAGTGATTTGTAGACAAGCAATAGAATTTTGTATTCAATTCTAAACTGAACCGGTAACCAATGTAGGGATTTCAGGAGGATATTCTTTAACAATATGCACAATTTGTTTGTCAACATTGTTTTCCCATACATCCAGAACGTTCAGGCCCACACAAGGATGATTTTATTAATTGAAGTGGTCTTAAATCACTGTGTGAGATGTGTTCCCCTGGACGGAGAGGTCACTCTGTTCAGGGAGCATTTATCAGAAGGGGGGGTGAGAGGAGAGAGAAAGCTAGAGGTTTGTGTCAAGGTCAGAGCAGAGTGCAGGAGAAAAACGTATAAAAACACTGCAAGAAGGAAAGTCTCTCAAATAAAGCACTAAAGAGGAGAGAAGTTTTTAAAGGAGTCTGGGCATTAGATGTGTGGCACAAGTTACACGGGTCGGTTATTGGGTAGTTGAAGTGATTGGATCCATTTGTAAGGATGAATTTTCACTGCTTGACTCTTCTAGTTCTGTCACTCTCAGCAACCAACACACAGGCCTTATGGAGGTAAGTGAACTCTCTCCTCCTCAGTGGAGAAGCACTTCCTTCGTGACAATATTTGCAGTTCCTTTTCTGTATCATACAAGCTTCTGTAAACCAAAATGTATACTTAATAATGCCTTACTAAAACAAAACTGAAGAAAACCATAAAGCTGTATAAAAAAAAAAAAAAAAAAAAATGTGGGTCCCAAGGGGCCGTAAGAGCCCAGCTAACAAGCTTATGTTAAAAATATACAAATGTTTTGCTAGTGTTATAATTAATTTATGAAAACATTATATTTGAATGTTCTTTAAACTGACTTTTCCTTCATTTTTTTAATCTTCATTTTCATTTTTAAAAACGTTTTTCTTGGTTATTAGAACATTAGTAGAACTTTAAGGGAACATTCCATTATGGGAATGTTAGTTGTTTTTATTATTTTTTTATGTTTTTTTGAATGTTCTGAAACATTTAAAAAAATATTAGACGAACATGCAACTAAACATTTCAGAATTAATGATGTATACATTTTTGTGATAATGTTTTGAGAACATTAGCTATTAAAGACCATAAACAAACATTCTATTAATGTTACTGGGATAATGTTTGGTAATAATTTTGAGAGAACCTTGCCAGAACATTATCCAAAGTTCTGAGAATGTTCCCTGTTAGCTGGGATGGTGCTATAGGGGATCTTCAGAAAAAAAAAAAAAAAAAAAAAAAACCTGTTAAGCTAATTCAAAGTAAATTTTTGTTCCATGTGATTAATACAGGCCAAATATTTAATTTGAGGAATAAAAAAATTGTATTACAACACTTTACAATACGGGTACGCTAATATGCATTAATTCATACTTAACACACAGATAATCACGAGTTAATGACTCATGAATAACTAACTCATTAATGAATTATTACTGCATCAGCAACTAATTAAGAGTCTATATGATTAATAGATTAATAAACGAATCGCTATTAACTAAACGTGTCATCATGTATTAATTCCTTAATGACATATTTTATTAACTAACAGTGTAAATTACTGTCTTAATTACCACAATTAGTCAAAGCTATGCACTTCAACTTCCTGTTGTCTGCTTTAATTAATCATTAGCTAATGATTTGCAAAGGTATCATTATGTTATGACTTTTCTTGTTGAGGCACATGACTATTGTATTTAACTAATATGTCATTTTGGTTTTGACATCCACACTATGGATTTCAATTTCCCGCCTTCTACAACCGGGATTTCACTGTGCCAGATGAACCGCCGCATCCAACAGTTCATGGCACATGTGTCAGGTTAAGCTGGAGCTCTAGGATTTAAAGGAAGAACACTGAGAATATGCGGCCGGGCTCTGCTATTTCATAACACTGTGTCCAGACCAGACAAAGAAACAAGAACCAGTGATACTAGAACCAAAGAAACTAGATCCAGACAACACTGGATGCGACACAACAAAACCTCGACAGTAAACTGATGCCTCACTCTATTTCTGACGTACTCCGCGCTCTTGTGCTACTTCTGTTATGAAGGACAAATGGACTTGCAATGGTCTGTCATGTCCAGTGTAGACAGCTGTAATGGTCTCATCCAGTTTAAACAAGGTGTAACAGCGTCAATATCTCAGATTCTGGTGTGCTGATATTTGTGTGTGGCCCAACTTACCCATGCTTAAAACACTCTCTGACATTACACTCACTGCATGTGCAATTGCCCCACAGACCTTTAGTGGGGATGACATGACAAAACCCATAACCATAATGACATATTACTTAACAATCAGTTAGTTATGTGCCTCAACAAGTAAAGTCACAACATAATGATACCTTTGCAAATCATTAGCTAATGATTAATTCAAGCAGACAACGGGAAGTTGAAGTGCATAGCGTTGACTAATTGTGGTAATTAACACATTAATTTACACTATTAGTTAATAAAATATGTTATTAAAAAATTAATACATGATGACATGATTAATTAATAGGAATTCATTTATTACTTAATCTATTAATCATATAGACTATTTATTATTAGCTGATGCAGTAATAATTAATAATTAATTTAATAATTAATTCACGAGTCATACTCATGATTATCTATGCAACTATGAAGTAATGCTTATTAGTGCCAAAAAATCGTCTCACACAGGCACATAGGCCCACCAAAAGGTCATGAAAATATAAAGCTGCCTTTATATTTTAGGAAAAGAGTGCCTTGAAAAGTAATCCTCATATTTGGGGGCCTTTGGCATAAAAAAAAACCTAAACAGATGTATTTTATCTCTAATATTTCAACCAATAGTAAATATATGAAGAGTTCAGATGCAAAAGCTTCTAAGTGCCATTTGAAATTTTTTTCTAGAATGATCATTTTTATCAAGCTTGTATATTTAAATTCAGTAATTTCACTTAAATTGCAATGAAGATTACCTATTAATTGGTATTTAAGTGAAATTACTGAACTTGAATATATAAGCTTGATAAAAATGATCATTTTAGAAGAAAATTTCAAATGACACTTAGAGGCTTTTGCATCTGAACTCTTCATATGCTAAATATCTGTTATCTATTTTGACATTGACAAAGATAATATAAATATATTCAGATTTTTTCAGATACTTTATTAGGTACACCTTGCTAGTTTCGGGGGCTGGTCCCGATTTTGCCTTCAGAACTGCCTGAATTCTTCATTCAACAAGGGACAGAAGGTTCCTGATAGATTTGCTGAAAACACAGTTTCTGCAGATCTGCCGGCTGCAAATCCATAATGCAAATCTCCCATTCCAGCACATCCCAGTATTAGATTGAGATCTAGTGACTGTGGAGGCAGTTTGAGTTTAGTGAACTCATTGTGATGTTCAAGAAACCAGTTTGAGATTATTTGAGCCTTGTGACATGGCGTGTCATCCTGCTGGAAGTAGGCATCAGAAGATGGGAACACTATGGTCATAAAGGGATGGACATAGTTCTCAGGTAGCCTGTGGCCTTTAAAAGATGCTCAATGGGCTTTATGCCCAGCTGCACTACTTCCTGAACTTCAGCCAGCTCCTTGTTTCCTGTCTGCTATTATTGGTCAAATTGATTAATTCAGGTGTGCTTGACCTCAGTAGTCATGGCAACAATAATCAGACACACCTGAATTAATCAATTTGGCCAATAATAGCAGACAGGAAACAAGGAGCTGGCTGAAGTTCAGGAAGTAGTGCAGCTAGGCATAAAGCCAATTGGCACTAAGAGGTCCAAAGTGTGCTGAGAAAATATCCTTCACAACATTACACCACCACCAGCCTGATCTGCTGATACAAGACAGATGGATCCATGCTCTTGTGTTGTTTAAACCAAATTCTGCCCCTACCATCTGAAAGTTGCAGCAGAATTCAGACCAGACTAAGTTTATCTGAATTTTCTCGTCCAATTTTGGTGAGCCCAAGCTAATTGCAACCTGGTGTGTTCTTCCACTACTATAGAACATCTGCTTCAATGTTCGATGTGTTGTGCCTTCAGAGATTCTCTTCTGTAGACCTCAGTTGTAATAAGTGGTTATCCTCCCTGGATATTTTCGCTTTTTCGCACCATTCTCTGTAAACCCTAGAGATGGTTGTGCATGATAATCCCATCAGATGAAATACTCAGACCAGCCCGCCTGGCACCAACAACAATGCCACATTTAAAGTCACTTAAAGGAGTAGTTTGCTTAAAAAAAAAACAACAACAAAAAAAACTTTTTCTGATCATTTTACTCACCCCCATGTCATCCAAGATGTCCACGTCTTTCTTTCTTCAGTCGAAAAGAAATTAAGCTTTTTGATGAAAACATTCCAGGATTTTCTCCATAATGGACTTCAATGGAAACCAAACAGTTCAAGGTCCAAATGAGAGTTTCAGTGCAGCTTCAAAGGCCTCTAAACGACACCAGATGATACGTTTTAAGTTTTATAAGCACAAATGCTCGCCTTGCTCTGTTCTGTGATGCACGTTAAAATGATCAAATCTTTTTTCGAGTCATGACTCGAAGGGTCCTTGATAAGACCCTTATTCATCGTCTGGTGTCGTTTAAAGCCATTTGAAGCTGCACTGAAACTCTCATTTGGACCTTGAACCGTTTGGTTCCCACTGAAGTGCCATATATGGAGAAAAATCCTGGAATGTTTTCATCAAAAACCTTAATTTCTTTTCGACTGAAGAAAGAAAGACATGGACATCTTGGATGACTTGGGGGTGAGTAAATTATCAGCAAAAGTTTTTTTTTTTTTTTTTTAAAGTGAACTACTCCTTTAAATCACCTTTCTTCCCCATTCTGATGTGAGCATCAGTGATCAGTGAGTTTGATGCAGCAGATCGGCTTGGCCATGTTTACATGCCTAAATGTATTGAGTTGCTGCTATCTGATTTGCTGGTTAGAAATTTGCTTTAACATGTAGTTAAACATGCCTAATGAAGTGGCTGATGGCTTATATAAAAATATCTAAGAGGGAAATCTAAAGTGCATCAAAAATACATTTATATAAAAATATTTTTTTAAAAGCTGTATTAATTTAGAAATATTATGAAATAAATATATGCATTTTATATGAAAGTATCTGTCTTTGCGTTATGGGTAGTATCTTTTTTACTTAAATTAAAATTATATAATGCCCAATTCATCTAGCCTGGGTTTCTCCATTCTGCCTTGCCGCAGCGCGATTTAATTCGCTCTGTTATGCAGTCTGGATACCATGAACCAAATTTTCCCCTGAAAAAGGGAACCAATAACAGAACGGGGAGGGAGCACAGGCGCATTTGATAGACATTTGTAGCACACAATAATACGGCTCTGGGCATTCATAAACCACACCTCAAATACGAGAAATTGAACGTGTGGTTTCCAGACCACGTTTCGGTTACACTTTATTTTGATAGTCACTTCAGACAGTCTACTAACTATAAGTAACTTTTCAACTACATGTCAACCAAGTGTCATTAGAGTATTAGTAGGCTGTAGTAGACTGTCAGTAGACTGTTAGGTTAGGGTTAGGTGTTAGGGTTCAGGTTAGGAGAACAAGTTGACTTGTAGTTGCTAAGTTACTTACAGTCAGTTGAATGTCTGTTGGGGGACCAACAAAATAATGTGTTAGCAGATATTAAGCTGACAGTCTACTAATACTCTAATGATAGTTAGTTGACATGTAGTGGCAAAGTTACTTATAGTTAGTTGAATGTCTAAAGTGGACTATCAAAATAAAGTGTTACCCACGTTTCATTCTCAATGATACGTGGTCTGGCATTAGCCAGACTACAATTCATCTCAAAATCAGAAAAAATGCACAATATGTCCTGTTGTTGCTGTTTTTTCAGTTGTAAAAAAAAAAATTAATAATAATAAATATAACACAAGACTCTTCTCTCTTCAGGGTAAAACTGAAGAAAATGCCATCCATACGAGAAACCATCAAGGAGATGGGTGTCACCACAGCTCAAGTGTTTTCTGAGATTATGCCGAAATATGATGAACCATCGCCCACTAACGGCACAGCTCCAACACCTCTGATCAACTACTTAGATGTAACGCAGACTTAAAAATGGAAATGATCCACAATTTGGCAAAAGTGCAAATAATATAATAATATAATTGCGTTTGTCTCTTGTATTTCAGACTCAATACTTTGGCGAGATTAGTATTGGTTCACCAGCTCAGATGTTCAATGTTGTGTTCGACACAGGCTCTGCCAACCTCTGGGTTCCCTCACATAGTTGTTCTCCATTATACACAGCCTGCTGTGAGTCGTTTGCTAAAAGAAATCATATAAATCGAAAAAAAATAAGTGTTACAATGAAAAGCAAAATGCATTTTTGTCCTATAGCTCAAGTCTTCCTTTCTCCATATGTCTCTTAGTCACACACAACAGGTACGATGCTTCAAAATCCCTCACGCATATCTACAACGGCACAGGATTCTCCATCCAGTACGCTTCTGGAAACGTCCGGGGATTTCTGAGCGAGGACGTGGTTGTAGTGAGTAACAAAAAAGCCATTCATTTATGAATTGGGATATGAGTTTAAAGGGAATATCTTAATGAAAATAGCTAACCTTCGTGAGATAAGATGAAATATTTTAGCCATCCAGGTTACCAGAAAGTCAGGCACAGCAAAAGATCAACGGTTAACCAAATCCAGATGCTTGTGCACCATATTTTAACTACCATCAAGGCAAAATATGGAGTGACTTTCAAACAAATTGACTGTGATAATACAATCAGTAACATGTGATGGAATACCAAAACTGTTATTTGCACACAGTACTTGTCAGATCTGTTTGACCCTTGACCTGTTACATCTTTAGGTGGGTGGTATACCAGTGGTGCAGGTTTTTGCAGAGGCCACAGCTCTTCCTGCGATCCCGTTCATCTTTGCCAAGTTCGACGGAGTGTTAGGGATGGGCTATCCAGATGCAGCCATTGATGGAATTACACCTGTGTTTGATCGCATTATGTCTCAACATGTTCTAAAAGAGAATGTTTTCTCTGTGTACTACAGCAGGTGAGCGTCAGCATCTCTTTGCATAGGGTGAGCAAGGGAGACAAATACATTTCATGATTCAATTCCTTGTCATTTGTGTTACCACAAGGACCAAGTACATGGAAAAATAAGAATAATTGTAATATAAATAATAAACCCATTATTCTGTTAAATGTGGAAAACATCAAATGCGATACAAAGGTAGAAAAAAATATTGGGAACACTTTGCGATAAGGTTCATTATAACGTAATATTAACTAATAATGACAATACATTTCTTTCTGTATTAGTTAATGTAGTTAATGTTTGTAAATAAAACTAGCTATTCATTGTTTGTTCATGTTAGTTCACAGTGCATTAACTAATGTTAACAAATGATCTTTGATTTTAATAATGCATTAGTAAAAAAAAAACATGTTGAAATTAAAGGAGTAGTTCACTTTTTAAAAAACTTTTTCTGATAATTTACTCACCCCCATGTCATCCAAGATGTCCATGTCATTCTTTCTTCAGTCGAAAAGAAATTAAGGTTTTTGATGAAAACATTCCAGGATTTTTCGCCATATAATGGACTTCATTGGGAACCAAACGCTTCAAGGTCCAAAAGACAGTTTCAGTGCAAACTGCAAACTGTTCAGAGGGCTTTAAACATTTTCAGATGATGAATAAGGTCTTATCAAGCGAAACGATTGCTCATTTAAAAAAAACAACAACAAAGTTTAAGTTTTATAAGCTCAAATGGTCGCCTTGCTCTGTTCTGTGATGCACGTTCGTGACTCTACTGTTCGAACTCGTTAATCAAAATGAACGAATCTTTTTTCGTGTCATTTGGTTCATTCAACGAACAAAACAAACGAGTTGACTCAGGAAAAGATTCATTCATTTTAATGAACGAGTTTGAATAGGAGAGTCTCGAACGTGCATCACAGAACAGAGCAAGGCGACCATTTGAGCTTATAAATATAATTTTTTTTTTTTTTAAATGAGTGATCATTCCGCTTATTCTTGATCGTTTATTCGCTTATAAGACCCTTATTCATCGCCTGGAATCCTTTAAAGCCCTTTGAACAGTTTGCAGTTTACACTGAAACTGTCTTTTGGACCTTGAACCGTTTCCCATTGAAGTCCATTATATGGAGAAAAATCCTAGAAAGTTTTCATCAAAAACCTTAATTTCTTAAAAAAATGATCAGCAAAAGTTTTTTTTAAAGTGAACTACTGCTTTAACATTAACTAAGATTAACAAATGCACAAATAATGCTATGAAATTATGGGTTTTAATTGGGTATGAAAGTGGTGGTTCACTCAAAAATTTAACTACATTTACTCTCCTTCATGTCACTTCAAATCTGTATGAATGCATTTCTTCTGTGTAACATTATGGAGATAGTTTGAAAACTGTCTCTGGGTTTTCTTATATACAATAGGACATCAATGGTATCCAAAACAGTTCGGTTACCATCATTCTTCAGAATATTAAAAAGAAAGAAAGTCATACGGTCACATTGTGTATACTTTAAATGTATAATAGGCTACAGTTGCAAGCCTGTCTGTTACTAGTGCATATTTGTTTATGTATCTATAAGGGACCCAACACACATCCCTGGTGGAGAGCTGGTGCTGGGGGGCACAGACCCAAATTACCACACTGGATCTTTCCATTACATGAAAACCAAAGAGAAAGGCAAGTGGGAGGTCATCATGAAGGGGTAAGACTATATTATCAACATCAATTTGAAAGAACAATGATGATTTCTTGCTATGTAGCTCTTTCTGTCATTCTACATCTGCTTTACATCACAGTTTTCACAAATACTCCTGGTTGTAATAGATATCCCATATCAGATATCCGGTAGCCATCCGTTTTTAATTTTAAGCAGAACCTCAAACCATTTCCAGAGTTTTGAGGTTCTGCTCAATCCTTGCCCTGTGTCCTTTAAAAGAAAAGCCGACCCAAAAATTCAATCATACACCCAACATTATGTCGGTTTTCATCCTTGAAACCTAAGCCAATAATAATACATAATAATAGATTTAAGCCTTCCAAAGGTGAGTAAACTACCTAATGACACAGGTAAATTTGAGGGTAAAATGATTTTTTGGTCGATTCCCACAGTAATACTCTGATCCTCTGCAGAGTGTCTGTGGGGGCAGATATGCTGTTTTGCATGGACGGCTGTTCTGCTGTGATTGATACAGGCTCCTCCTACATCACAGGCCCCGCCTCCTCCATTTCCATTCTGATGAAAACAATCGGGGCCGTTGAACTGGCAGAAGGAGGGGTACGTTCTTTCAACCTTTCGGACATTCCTTAAAAAGCTGTTTTATATTTAAAAGCTTACATATAATCTGTTAATAAAATGGGTTTTAGAGATTAAGCCATTAAAAATGGAATTATTTTGTCTGAACAAAAAAATATGAATCCACTGCTTAGCATTGGAAACTACTAAAGCTGAAGAAGCCAAAATTTAAGCCTTGAAAAAAATATTATGAAATCTTAACAGTGGTGGCAAACATTCAAACTTCTCTACAGCTATGAAAAAAGAGAAATGTTCCAGTTATACACGATCAGAGAGCATGTTATGCATGATGGACCTTATAAAACATTCAGCAGTGGCAATTGATTATAAAACTCTGGATCTAACAAAAAAACAAAACGTTAGATCATGTGCAGATATATGAAACATGGTATCCCATATACATTTATACAAAAGCTGTTATGAAACAATACTTTTATAGCCAATTCAGGATGAGTTGACCATTCCTGTTTCTTATTGTTCCATTTCCTTTTCCTGTTGCACAACTCCATGGGAACAGCTGCTTTAGTCTATCATTTTGGCTGTGCCTCATAACTGGAATGATTGAAAGCTGTGTTTTTTTAATTGCAGTTGTGGTTAATGATATTTAATATGTAAAGTGCGTGATTCTTTCCTTTCAAGTGTCAAGTTTAGTGTCATTTCAGTTTTGCAAAATGGTGCAGGATGTTGTCTTTGTGTGGTTTTAAAGTCTCTCTCTCTCTCTCATCTTGCTCTAGTATACTGTGAGCTGTAATCTGGTCAAGTTGCTGCCCACTGTGGCTTTTCATCTTGGTGGTCAGGAATATTCTCTTACAGATGAGGACTATATTCTCTGGGTGAGGACTTTATATGTATTCATTTCACATTTGGTGGTGCTAATCTTAGAATACAGTAAGTCTTATTAGTAGCCAGATAAAGCTTATTTATTTTACATGTGGGGTGGTGGGAGGGCTTCTGGAGGGTGCCTTTAAATTCACATGACCTGATGTAACTTTCTCTCAGTAACCTCCTGTTATTGCTGTGGATTAGTCATGGCTGGCTATGATTATGCCTTTTGCGGGAAGTCTTAAGCCAGGTATCTTACATTGTAAGATTTTTGGCGTCTGAGACAAATGTTGAGAATCCTAAAAAATCTGAAGTATTTGATCGCTAGTTTGACAGGTTCGAAAATGTCAGACGATTTGACGTACAGAACTGCAGTGTAGCGTCTCCTACGACAACCGTAAAATCATAACCAATAGGAATAGAACCTGATGAGAGCAAAATACCACAATTATTTTTTTAGACGAGCCATGGTCAAAATTAACACTAGAGATTGTTTTTGTTTGCTAGCCACCATACACCGAACTTGTCATGTATTGATGATGTAAAACTCCAGACAAATCTTCTTGTGTGTGTCAAGCGTCTTGACATAAATGACGACTGAGATCCTACAGTGTGACAGCAACAGTCATAAAGCACTGTTACATCATAGTGTGCACCCAGCTTTAGCCACACCGCTAGGTATTAGTCTAAGCGAAGTCCCTTTTAAGGGATCGTTCACTCTGAAATGAATTTTTGATATGTTTTAGCTTACCTCAAGGGCATCCAAGATGTAGGTGTCTTTGTTTCCACAGTATTTTCAATTTTGATATTTTTAGGTCAAACCGTTCTTGTCTGTCAGTCATATAATAGAGATTTATGGGGTTCACCTCAAAGAGCATGCACAGAGAAATCCAAATTAAACATGATTTAATGACTCATACATGTAAGTAAGACACGAGCCTAAGACACGAAACAAGCAGTTTTTGTGAGAAAACGAACAGTATTTATATCGTTTTTACCTCTTGTAACCACAGCCACGTCCAACTGATCTGAAGGCACTGGCGCTTCGGTCTGCGCAAACGCCAGAAGTGTTCTTCATCAAATCATCTTCCATTTTAATTTCCTGTATATCTAAATATGTTTAGATCAGGGTTAGGCAAGTTCGGTCCTAGAGCCGCTGTCCTGCAGAGTTTGGCTCCAACACTGAACAAAATCTCACCTGCCTATAGCCTTAGTAATCCTGAAGACATTGATTAGCTTGTTCATGTGTGTTTGATTAGGGTTGGAACTAAATTCTGCAGGACAGCAGCTCTCTAGGACCGAACTTGCCTACCCCTGGTTTAGATCTTCACAGTGAAGGGTAACACTTCTGAAATCTCTGTGTAAACAATGAGTGAAGTACACGCACAAGAGATCACTTCCGGGGTTTTCCGGCGTGCTTGCGCAGATAAAAGCGCCCTCGCCCTCAGATCACTTGGACTGTGATTACAAGAGGTAAAAACGATACAAATACTGTTCGTTTTCTCGTTTTCTGTGCATGCTCTTTGAGGTGGACTCAGGGTGAACCCCATAGACCTCCATTATATGACTGACAAACAAGAACAGTTTGACCTTAAAATATCAAAACTGAAAATACTGTGGAAACAAAGACACCTACATCTTGGATGCCCTTGAGGTAAGCTAAAACACATCAAAAATTAATTTCAGAGTGAACTTTCACTTTAAGGCAAGTAATTTCATTCAGCAGCCATCTTTGAAACACCTCTCCGGCAGCTATTTCAGTCATGCAACCATCAAATTCATCACATTTCATGGGAGTGGGTAGCCTGGCATGCCAGACCTACATCAAGATGTTAGGTCTGGAAACTCATCATTGACAGGGCTCAATCCGAGGGGCGGGATAAACGGTTGTCTTTCAAATTCTCTCTGCACGCAATTGGATAGCGCTAAAGCCAATCAGAGCAACAATGACGGTGACGTACTCAGCGGAGCAAGTTGATATATTAAACTTTTACTGCATCCAGTCCAGCTGTCAACTCAACATTGAACATTGAAAATAAGAGAGATTTCCCAGAATCCATCCCCAAAATAAGGGATTTTTTTTTTGTTTTTTACACGACCCACAAACTTTAAAAATAAAACACTAATCATTAAAAGTCAAAAGAGTTTATAACTAAATAGCCCACATATGTGTGAGAGAGAAAGAGACAGTATATGTGTGTTTTTGTGTGTATGAGAGAGAAAGAGACAGTGTGTCATTAAAAAAAAATAACATCATAGAGAATGTTTAAATACTAATATCAGCTTACGAGGGAAACGGAGCCGGAGTAGTGGTGCTTCGCGGTGCTGGAGATGATTCGGGAGAGGTCCGTGCACCTATACCGATCAGAGCGCGCTCTGACACGGAGTAAAGCCTTTATACTCGACGACACAGCATGAGTGGGCAAAAATGACAAGTAGATCATTTCGCCACAGCTTTTTTGTAACAGCGCGCGCGGCGCCGGCCTCATCCGAGGATGAACGACTTCAAACCGAATATGTCCGAGCTTGCTCTGACCGGCTCAACTCTGTCGTCATTATGTTAAGCCCGCCCGCCGACTCTATACATGATTTGATTGGCCCTACCAGAGTTGAGTTTTTCCAGCTAAAACGTCTATGGAGAGTTGCTAGACCACACTTTGCTGCAAAATAATTTTTGCTGCCGCTAGATTTCTAGGCTAGGGAGTGGGCGGAGTTGGTCGTATTTTGTGTACAGCATAATGATTAATGTTTTGAGTAAGAAAAATTATCAAAATTTCTAACTTTATGAAGTAAACTAACTAGATTTCGGCCAAAGGAACATACGGCTTTCGGTCACAAGAGGTCACTCTTCTTTTCACACTGCACGAGTCAGCACGACTATCTGAGGTAACATTCAGTTGCTGGTGTGAATACACTGCATGATGGATCGGCGACAGGGGGTTTCACATTGGATGACTTTACAAGAGAAAGAATCACAGACAAACTCGGTCTTGTCTGCAAAAGTTTCACAACCAAACGCACACAAGAAGTGATAAGGAAGATCACGAGACTAAAAGCGCAAGATGAAAGAGAAGAAAGAAATTCATACATGTTTAGAACAACTTGAGGGTGTGTACTGTAAATGATGACAGAATCTCCATTTGTGGGTGCCCTATCCCTTTAAGTAGTGCATCTGTCTACCACACTACTGTTCAATGAAATTTTTAAAACTCCCTAACCTCACGCGCTTGGTATCTTTCACAATTTCTCTAAGATAATGTTTTACTGGTGCACAGCAGTGAAGAGATAGCCAACATTTACTTAAGCTTTGACATTATTGTTGACAGTAAGTATTGTTTTCATTGGAAATACTATTGCTGACTCTGTACTATGCTGTCAATCTGGCATTTCATTTAGCACTGAAGTCTGGGATCTATTCCACTAAGTGGAATGACTTTTTTCATTCAATTCAAAATGCCTCATGTTGAATTTGCATTTGGTTTTCCAGATGGCTTGTAAAGAGCAGCATCTGTTTCGAGATTCATCAAGCTATGCTACAGCTATATGGACTTTTCTAATGTCTCTTTTTCTTCTTACAGCAGTCAGAGTTCGGGGAGGATATCTGCACTGTGACGTTCAAAGCATTGGATGTGCCGCCCCCTACTGGTCCCATCTGGATACTGGGAGCAAACTTCATAGCTCGATACTATACAGAGTTTGATCGGGGAAACAATCGCATTGGCTTTGCTCGAGCAGTCTGACAAAAAAACTTGGTTTTCTACTATACTAATATTATTGCTATTACATGTACACAACACATAGACTTGATCTGTCACATCATAGACTTTAGCATACTTTAAAAAAGGTACTTATTATGATAATAATATCATTTAAAAGAACACAAAATGAATTTAATGTGTTGCGGACTCACACTTGCAAATTCATTTACAATTAAATTAGAATTTAGTAAAGTTTCAATTTTTAATAAATGCAATTGGTTGAACTTAAATGTATTTTGTTGATGCACAAGTATAGGTTCTAACTATAAGCAATTTCATAATTGTCTTTTAAATGTAGTGTACTGCTGAAAGCATTTATGGTAAACTAAACTTTCGATTGACATTTGTATGTCATGTGTTTAATTCTATTTGTAATTGCACTTTTGTAATGATGAAGTTGCATTTACGACATTTAAAATATATTAATTTTAAATGTAATGTCAAATGACTAGTTCAAATTTTAATCAAGAATTTTACATGTGCTTTATGTTAATCAACACACCTTGTGATTAATAAAACATAATGATTTAAATTGTACTTAAGTTAAAACTTTTACATTGACATTATTACAACGTGCACGTGTACTTAAAGTGTTTTACGAAACATAGTCATGAAAGTGTACTCGCCTTTTATTTCGTTTTAGGTTTTGACTTTTAAGTAATACACTACAAGTGCACATTCAATAAAATTAAGCACACTTCTTTTTTTACAAGGGTTCACAAAATCTGATTTTAATAGGTTCAGCAGGCTGTTCTTAGATCAGCAAATGTGTTTTCCTTTGTCAGAAGTGTCTTGCAACACCAGACTGAATGGGTTTAAAATGTTTCCTTACTCAGACAGAGAGAGAGAAAAAAAAAAAGCAATGCTGAACTCTCTTAAGCAACACTTTGTGGGTTGTATTGACCATGACATTTGGTTTTAGTTGAATGTGTATTAATAGCTTTGAAAAAATGAGGAACTCAAGAAGACACACCCTTTGGACTTCTGCACCAAATAAAAGTTATTCAATTGTAGTTATATAAAATATATTTTTAGTTAGACAAAACAAATAATCTGTTCATGACTGCTTCATGATATCGTGATTGCTAGAAATTATCCAAGCAATCCACTTGCATCCAGATTTTCCATTACTACAATCACCTTGCACAAAAGACTGCACATTATATTTTTGTTGCTTTAATATATAATTATAAAAAGATGCAGTATGAACTAGTTTCACATGTTAACATTAGTATTCTACAATGTGTGAATAATGTGAACACTCAACAAACCAAAACCAACTGGAATGTTTTTAGTTGGCAACACTTCTTTCACCTCTCAGAACATCACAATCCAAAACACACACATATGAGGCGCACATGAGGCAAATCAGAGGTCTGGATGGATGGAGATAAATGCGTAATATCTCTTAAAATGTTTATCACTATTGACCATCCCCATTTTCTGTCCCGTTATGTACTCTGGAAGCTCTTACAAAACCGCAGGACTGATGAACAGCCGTGCAACATCTTCATTGCTCTGGGGCGCATATCCAAATAAACACAGACTGAAGACATTCCCTGGTTCTTATGTTTTTAATGTTTTTGTCTCTCTGTCAAGGTCTGTGCGTGTTTAGAAACTTGCTTGTGTTTCAGCGTTTCTTTTGAGAAAGGTTGTGAAATGGAATGCGAGATGTGATCTCCCGCTGTTACAGTCACGCTGAAGACGCCTTCCTCAGCAGGAGCTACAGATTTTTATCACTATCTTTTCTCCTTTTCTCTTCCTTTCTCCCTCCATTCGTGCCACACATTCTTTAGCTGGTTTGAAGTGTTTATCATCACTGCTGTTTAGTTTTGAAAGAGCTATAACAGATGTTCACATCATACTGTATACCTATTTTATTGGATTAAATGTTACATTTAAAATTTGGTTTCAAAATGCTGTGGCAATATTTCTTTCATTTTATCATCAATTTCAGTTTTCTCCTCAATGTCACGTTTCATCCTGCTAGTCTTTCATAATATCACTTTACCTAACAAAAGACAGTTATGAAATTAACTTCCAGGAAGTGACATCATTTTGGCATCATGTTAGTCTTTTATAATATCTCAGTCTTTTATAATATCTCTTTACCTAACAACAGTTACTCAATGACATCCACGTAGTGACATGATTTTTGGTGGGAAAACAACAGGAGAGTTTAATGAATTCATTTTTACTTTAAATAGTGTGATGAAATAACTCTCTTTCATTGAGATATACAACCATGTAAATGTTGGGGGTAATTATGCATTCATGGTATTATTTTCACAGTTATGTTAAGTTAGTTTGTTTTCAGTGGGTTTTCATCAGTCACATGTGTTCTTTGTTTTTGTTTCCTGCCAGTCATCAGTTGTTATGGATACTCATCAGATCATCACACCTGTTGGTTATCTAAAGTTCCTCACTTTCCTCTGTTAGTTATCCGATTATGTCTACGCATTTGTTGCTCCTGCCTATTTGAATTATTATTATTAAAACCAACAGAGTCTCATCCCAAAAAGTCATATAACTGACGTTTTGGGACGTCTTTTGACCATACGTCAATATTCGCCTTTTTAGGGCCCCCTTAAACGTCGGTAGATGAGGTTATGGGATCCTAACTCTACCCCAGACCTAAACCTAACCCTAAACCTAACCCGTCACCTAACTGACGTTAAAGGTAAAGCGTCAGTTGTATGACGGCCCGGGATCGCAATCTACCGACGTTTAAGGGGGCCCTTAAAAAGGCGAATATTGACGTATGGTCAAAAGACGTCCCAAAACGTCAGTTATATGACTTTTTGGGATGAGACTGCGTTGTTAAAACATAGGGCCCTATTTTAACGATCTGAAACGCAAGTGTCATTAAAGCGCAAGTAACTTTGTGGGCGGATCCCGGCACTGTTGCTATTTAACCGGCGGGATAAATGCCTCTTGCGCCTGGCGCAAATCTAAAAGGGGTTGGTCTGGAGTAGCTTCATTATTCATAGGTGTGGTTTGAGTGTAACGGGAAACAAACCAATAAGAGTGTCATATCAAGAGCACGATGAACGAGGTGCACTTGTTTATATATTTTTCCTTATAATAATGTATCATTTGCAAAAAGTAAAATGCATCTGTGTAGATGAGAGAATAATCTACAGTGTATTCCTCTCCTAAAGCATCTATTACCTTCACATTCACTCATCATCACCAGTATGGACAGTCGATTGGTATATCCATCATCCTCCATCCAGCGCTGTCCTTCCTATTTCCTCCTACTAATGTGACTTATCATCTGTTATACCAATAAACCTGTTTATCATCAATTCACCTGTTTAGTTTGATATGAGTTCTCCTGAATCATTCGAAGAACTGGTGGACGTCCTCAAACATGCATCTTCAGCTACTTCCGCATCATCCGACATCGATCCTTCTTTGCCACCTACCGTCGTCAGTCCCATGGCCACTCCACTGCCCTTCTCTGGCGTGGCGGAGGAATGCGAGGGATTTCTACTGCAGTGCTCACTGGCCTTGGAGATGCAGTCACCACGCGAAAATCGCATATATCATTTCCTTGCTGAGGGGACGAGCGCTGCATTGGGCTCAAACAATCTGGAATCAAGATACTACAGTCACACGAACAAACAACAACTTCGTTGATCATTTCCGGGAGGTCTTCGGAAGTCCGGATGGCGATTCAACCACGGGTGAGAAACTATTTCAACTTAAACAAAATGCTGATTCAGTCTCCGATTACACTCTTAAGTTTAGAACCCTTGCAACAGCCAGCGGGTGGAACGATTGTGTTCGCTCCTTACCACCTATCGGCAAGGTTAAATCCATGGCTCGCTGCCTATGACGATGCCATTGGTCTTAAAAAAGGTTCATGCATCTCGCCATCCGCACCGATCGTCGTATGCAACCATGCCTAGGAGATCTACAGGGCCAGTTTTCACCTCTTCTGTCTCGTCAACCCGAACTAACCAGTTCTCGAGAACCAGTTCCCATGAAAGTTGACAACACTCGTCTTTCACGTTCTGAGCGACAGAGGAGTATTGGCCCAGGGTCTCTGTTTATATTGTGGCAATGCAGGACACCTCATTTCCGTCTGCCCCATTCGTCCACCACGTCCATGGGTGAGTGTAATCCATAACTTTGTGACAATTGTTTTCCAAACTGTTTTACGTGTCTGCCTCGTTACTCCTCTTTCCATCCACTCCACATCCATCGAGAGCCCTGTAGAGAAACAGTCAGTTGAAATTCCTACCTGTTACGCTCACTTCAGTGATGTCTTCTGCTCTAAAAAAGCTTCATCTCTACCACCACACTGACCTTGGGATTGCACCATAGACCTCCTAACAGATGAACCAGTGCCCCACGGTAAGATCTATCCACTCTCGCTTCCAGAACAGAAGGCCATAGAAGAATACATTGCAGAAGTGCTCCAACAAGACTACATCCGACCTTCCACTTCCCCTGCTGCTTCTAGATTTTTCTTCGTAGCGAAGAAGGACGGAGGCTTACGGCCCTGCATAGATTACAGAGCACTCAATAACATCACTGTCAAGTTCTGGTACCCACTTCTTCTTGTTCCAACAGCTCTGGAACAACTTTGTGGGGCCTCCGTGTTTACTAAATTGGACCTCCGCAGCGCATATAACCTTGTCCGGATACGTGAGGGAGATGAGTGGAAGACAGCCTTCGTGACACCTACTGGCCACTGTGAGTACCTGGTCATGCTGTATGGTCCTGTAAACACCCCCTCTGTATTCCAGGATTTCATGCACAAGGTGCTCTGAGATTTCCTTCATCACTCCGTTATTGTTTACATTGATGATATTCTGATTTACTCCCAGAGACTGGCTGAACATCGCCATCACATTGCGGAGGTCCACAAACGTCTCAGAGAACACCAGCTCTTCCTTAAAGCTGAGAAATGTACTTTCCATCAACCATCCATAATTTTTCTATGCTACAATATTAGTAAGCATGGTATCCAGATGGACGAGGGGAAGGTAAACTCGGTCCGGAACTAGCCCTCACCTACCACCATCAAGTAGTTACAACGCTTTCTGGGATTTTTGTAACTTCTACGGCCGGTTTATCCACAACTACAGTTCCATCACATCACCCCTAACCAACTTGCTCCGGAAAAAGCCCAAGTCTCTGTCTTGGACACCTGCAGCCACCTTAGCTTTCCAAAGCTTAAAGGACTCCTTCACAAGAGCACTGCTCCTTACCCATCCAGATCCTAACAAGCCTTTCATCGTAGAGGTGGATGCCTCTACTACAGAGGTAGGAGCGGTGCTCTCACAGCAGCAGGGAAACCTGGCCCATCTTCATCCATGCGGTTACTTTTCCAAGAAACTTTCCCCAGCGGAGATTAATTACAACATAGGCAATAGAGAACTCCTAGCCATCAAGCTTGCTCAAGATGGGCTTTGTACTTCACTCATTTTAACTTTGACATCTCATATCGTCCAGGTACAAAGAACCTCAAAGCAGACGCTCTATCTTGTCTCTATAAACCCGAGGAAAACACAGAGGATCCCGAATCCATCTTGCCCCAAAAGATTCTTCTGAGTCCCATTAAATGGCCTCTACATCAACAGATCCCCTCCTCTAGTGTCTCTAAGCCATCTCCGCCAAGATATCCACCCGATCACATCTTTGTTCCTCGGTCACAACGCAATCAGCACACTCTTCCGTGGGCACTGGTCATCCTGGGGCCAATCGAACCCTCTCACTGCTACAAGATCGCTTCTGGTGGCCCAACATGGCCAGGGATGTGAGAAGGTTCGTCCAGGGATGCTCAGACTGTGCTATCACCAAAAGCCCACGCCATCTTCCCTCCGGCAAGCTCCTTCCATTGCCCATTCCCTGAAGCCCCTGGTCACCCCTAGGAGTAGATTTCGCAACTGACCTACCACCCTCCGAAGGTAACACCTGCATCTTTGTAATTGTTGATCGCTTTTCCAAGTCCTGCTCTCTCATCCCATTAAGAGGACTCCCTACTGCCCTGGAAACAGCTAAATTACTGTTCAACCACATGTTCCGATATTACGGAATTCCATAGGATATTGTTTCAGACAGCCACAGTTTGGAAAGCTTTTTTCAAACTCCTAGGTGTTGCTGCTAGTTTGTCGTCAGGTTACCATCCTCAAACGAATGGGCAAACGGAGAGAAAGATTCAGGAAATTGGGCGCTTCCTGAGAACCTTCTGTCATGGCCACCAAAACTCCTGGCACGAATTCCTAGGCTGGGCCGTTCGTGGTTACCAGCCTCCATTGTTTCCGTGGTCTGGAGAGCCCTCTGATGGTCCTTCTGTTGACAATTGGTTCCGAGAGAGTGAGAGGGTCAGGGACGATGCCCATCATCACCTCCAGAGGGAGGTGCGCAGACAAAGGGTCCAGGCAGACACCCAGAGAGCCGAACCACCCACTTTCCAGCCTGGACAGAAGCAATGGCTCTCTACAAGGGATATCAAGCTACACCTGCCCTGCAAGAATCTGAGTCCCAGATACATTGGTCCCTTCATCATCACATGGCAAATTAACCCAGTTTCCTACCAGCTACAGTTACCATTACACTACAGAATTCATCCTATCATTCATCCACTTCTCAAGCCCTATTACTCTCCTGTTCCTATTCCCTCAACAGAACCTGACCCTATGGAAGAACCCCCCCGTACCCAACCCCCCCCCCCCCCCGCCATTGGTAGAGATATTGGACTCCTGACGTCCTAGAGTATTTACTGGACTGGGAAGGCTATGGACCCGAGGAACGTTCCATGGACACCTAGGGATGATATACTAAATCCGACCTTCCTCGCCACTTTACACAAGACTCATCCAGCCTGTCCAGGACCCCGAGGAAGAGGTCGACCACCGTGACGTCGGGAGTGTGTGTGGGGGGGGGGTGTACTGTCAGTGATC